AATGATTTATTTATTTGGTTGCCCAGAGAAACCTGATGGAGTGTCAAGATCGAGTATCAGGACGCGCGACACCTTCACCGCTGTCTCAAACTTTAGAATGATGAGGCTGACGTGCGTCTTACAAACGTGGCAATTGCCAGTGGCGGGCAGAGGAGAAGCAAAACTTTCCTCGAGAGGAGCGAATGTTCATTTGGCGATACTGAGCCCTGCCACGGTAATGTGGGATTTGACACTCCAGGCTACCGTGGAGTTGAGCGCGGTAGCCAATCGGCACTAGAGGTGACTCGCTGTCCCTGCGAGCTGCCATGAGTGACCGAGGGCACAGCCTGCTTCGCCGCAGCCTCTACAGCGGGGTCCTCGAAATACCGGGCGCCACGTTCCGGGGACGGTGCGGTGTCAGATTTAGCCACGGCCCGGTGGACTTTGTGCAGTCACTGGTAACCGGGCCGAGCCTCTCAAACCCCCCCCTTCCCCCTGAGAGAACCCGGTGTTATTTTGCGCCGTTACCTGGATGCGGACCTAGTTGACCCTCTGGTGCTGGCTCGTCCCTCTGATGCGGCGCTCCGCATCGCAACGATGCCGCGCTGGCAAACGCGCGCACCGGATGCGATTACGCGGCGCCTGTTGCAGTGGCGCGTTATGAAACGCACGTGCCGTAACGTCGCCGTTGATATAGAGCTGCGGCGCTCTAAATGTTGCCTCCTGCAAGGTGGGGCGGGGGGGGGGGGGCGCCTGACCCAGCGGGACCCCTGCGGCTGAACCAAACACCGGGGCTGCGCGCCCCCGTCTTTCCCATTCATCTGCTTCTTTAAAAATGCAAAGCAAAAACAAAATAAATCTTTGAGCGCACAATGGGAACCCGTTGCTTGAAGAGTCACGCGCCTCTGCCAAGTTAACCCGCTCCGCTGCGAGGCCAGGATTAATTTCGTTTGAATTGCGTGTACGACAGATTGCGCGTTATGATGGTTCAGCGAACGGAGTGTGTGGAATTGGGAGCAATGTGCGTTTGAGGTTATTTTTTTCCTCCCAATTTTGGCACCGTTATGTTTAACTTGCACCTCGGGGGGGGGGGGGGGGCCTTGCTGTAGATGAGGTTTTACCGTTGCGTTGGACGTCGCCCAGCTCCGAGAGATAAAGCGTTCCAAGCGTATCAGCCAACCGACACGCGGCGCGCCGCATTTGACGAGGTGTAGCGCAAGAGAGCGGGCGCCTTTGGATGTGTGGATTGTTGAACGCCTTTCGCATCGTGCGTAGCCAACCGTGATGATCGGAGGTGCGGTGAAGTGAGCCTCGGTGCCGTCACCTTCCCCACGCGCTGCGCCGTTGTGGACGCCGCCGACGCCGGGAGAAAGCACCGTTTATTGCTCTTGGTTTTTGACGTTTCGGACTGAGCCATGACCCGAACACACGTCGACCCCGATGTTGTTGATATGGCTGTCACTCATTCCCCATTCATTCAATCCGTTCATCATCATTTGTAGTCGTCAGTTTCGCTTTTACCGAATTCACGCGTCACAGATTTGCCCCATTGCTTCCTCTCATCTATTGTATTCACCTCATATCTATCCTTACATTCATATGTACCATTCAGAATTCTCCGTAAAGCACCTTGGTTGAGGCGCTATATGAATTACGTTAAGATAAGATGATCAATATAAATTTCAACTCATAACGTGCCACCGCACAGCAGTATTCGCTCGCTCTCAAAGAGAGAGAATAACTCAGGGGGCCAGAGACAAGCCGGAAGGCAGCCATGTGGTCAGCTCAAGGTCTGCGTTCCTCTGTATACGAAGGTGTTATCGACAGATGAATTCATGTTGACTTGTGCGAGTAAAACAGGCGCAATTGGAGAAAATCCACACATGCAAGGGGGAAACGCGCTATCCCACACAGACAGAACATGTGGAATCCACGTTTTTGCTGTTCTGCCTTGGAGCGAGCCAGGGTTACGGCAGCTCGACGCCTGGGTAGTCACGTTGTAGCAGGGTCTCTAACGTTCCTCTTTGAGCAGAGAGCACGCTTTGGCATTGTGTGCAGAGCATTGTCCATGTGGGCCATGGCTCGAATTCAACAGCAAGTTGGTGGGGCACTCTGAGTCGGAGCACATCTGCAAGTGGTGGGGGGTTGGGGCGGGGCATGAGGCTCTCGAGCAGCTGCACGAACATGAAGTCATTTGAAATCCCCGGCAAAAATCCCCATGTCTCGACCACCTTCCGTAAATATCACGCCTCTTTAACTCACGGTTTGCCGAGAAAGGCGTAGAGACGCGTAAGCCCGTGGCTAGACGGTGGCGATAGGCCCTGTTGGGTGCGGGTGCCCTTTCATCCTTCTCCCCCCGCCGCCCCGAACCTCGTCACGCCCCCTCCCTGCGCCACCTGTGAGCTACCGTGCACCCCGTCCCGGGACCGCGATGATGACACCTCCTCCTTCTCCTCCCCGCTGCTCTCGCGTCGTCACCGTCGCAACCGTAGCCAGAAGCCTGCTTCGTGCGTCCAGTACCACTGTGAAACTAAACTGTTTTCATTTGACCAGGTAAGGCCCACTGAGCTAGCGACCTGGCCCCAAAAGATGGCTCAACAAAGTGGCTTATCACGTGGAAATGTATAGCAGCCAAATACTCCAAATGCACGTCGATTCCAAATGTGGAGGGAAAATGCCGGAGGACCCGGAGAAAAATCCACGCGACCATGGAGAGAGCGAGACATGCCAACTCTAAATATACAGCAGGCGTCAGGGTCGGGATTAAACCCACAACATCCTGCATACTTGGCGAGGTAGTTAACATCTCATAGTCATCGCGGCACCCAAGAGCCCCCAGCTCAATTCTCCTGAATCATTCCCTCCGTGCCTGTGTACGTACAGTGCTGTTGTCAGTCCACTGCTGGATGATGGCTTCCTGCTCCGTGCTGGGCACGGGCGTATTTTAACCATGCTTCACCACGCTGGGGTCATTGTGAGTTGGTGGAGGAGAGCCTAGACGTGGTTCAACAATAGATTACGGTACGGCCCAACAATATATTTTACTGTCTGCTGGCCACAGCGTAGCCGCGTAGCAGCCTGTGACAGCCTGGCGTGCATCTTTGGTAAGTTCTTCAATCACTTGAACTTCCGGGTCATAGCATTGGTCGTTATAAAGTCGAAATCCCCATCAGGTGGTTAACTCGTCTCTTCACTCGGGCTGATTAAAATGATTACCACGGTGTGAGAAGTCCACGGTGGTTATTGGATTGTGAGGCTGGTTTGCCACCTGTCCTGGGGTCTGACCAGAACAATGTGGGAATTGGCATCTGTGCGGGTGGCAGAGATTGATTTGTGATGCGGTCTGGCACCAGGGGTGCCAGCATTGATTTCTGTGTTGGATTTCATGACATAGTCCTGCACAGTGTTGTTGATGGTAGAGACCTGCGCTGACGAAGAGATATGTCCGGGTGGGAAAGGTGGCGTCCCTGACTAGGATGTTGTTCCGGGTTGTTTATTTATTTTGGGTGATTTGCTTACCAATCCTTCACCTCGCACCCGTGTCGTTTTATATGTATTGTTGTAACTTTATGATCCACCCCTAATGGACATCTGGGAAAGAGAGCTTCAAAGCTCATCGGATTCTTCCAGGATACATAACGATTCTGTTTCTGGTTCAGCCCCACTTATAATTTTGAGATAGGGAGACACTTCGACTTCCCTGTCTACCAATGCCGCGGTAAAACTCGAGCCGTAGAAGACTCGCGGTGCTTGAACCGTGACTGGGCCGTCCCCGTGGGCGAGGCGCGGGGACCGTGGCTCGCACGGCCCCCTGGGGGAGCGTGGCTCGCACGGCCCCCTGGGGGCTAGGCCCCGCGCTCGTCCCCAGCACCCAGGGCCCTTGTGCGGACGTGCCCAGGGCCACTTACGGACCTGTGCATTCGCCCGCGGTGCCGAGAGCCGCGACGGTTCCTACGCAATGGGACGTGCCGCAGTTTGGAGTGCGGAAGGTGGCAGGATGTTGACTGCCTCGCCTGGTATGAAGGAGGTCGTGAGTTTGATGCCAACCCTGACGCCTGTTGTATATTCGGAGTTTGCGTGTTCTCCCCGTGGTCGCGTGGATTTTTCTTTGGGTCCTCCGGTTTTTCCCTCCACATTTAGAAACGTGCATTTAGAGCATTTGGCTGCGATAAATTTGCACATGTTAAGCCGTTTCATTGGGATATCGTTTGTGGCCAGGTCGCTTCTGAAAAAGAGCTACGTAGCTCAGTGGGCCTTACCTGGTAAAATAAAAAATAGTTTCATGTTTAAATAGTTTAACACCCGTTGTATGTACGTATGTGTGTATGTTGAACTTCTTTCGCATCGTACGTATCCAACCGCGCTAAACAGAGGTGCGGAGAAAAAACTGTTGGTATTACCGCGGTGTTGGTAGCAGGGTTATAATGTGCTGATTCAATCCAAGCAACATTGAACCTGAGGCACAGTTCCCACGTTACTTTTAATTATTTTCCTTATTTTAACATGTACACATGTGTTTGTTTTATTTATCCTGTTTGGAGCTTTATGCTTTCATTATGTGGTTAAACCCATTTCTCCTTTGACTAAGAGGCTCCTAAAGCGGTGATATAGCGGTAAGTTCATAAATTCGTGGTTGGAGTCCGGCCGGCCATCCTGGTTTTTATTTGTGTATCAACTGTTGAATACTCAGTGCCGTCTGCTTCACAGTGGACGTTCGGAAAGAGTAGGCCATTGTGCGGCGGGCCTCACGGTCCACATCTTCCAATTTAAAAAAAAACGACAGGAAAAATGACTGAATTGAGATGACACACAGCAACACGGCTCCCCTCCTGTCAAACTACCCCAGACTACGTCCTTGAAACTCGGCAGCGCCTTCCTTGGTGATTGCCCCACGCTGTCAGGGCCATCGCGCGAATCCCGAGCACCGCTGCACAATCGAATCGATGAGTTCATCTCGGTGTGAGACTTTGAGCGCAATGGGATAACAGAGTGGCTGCCTCGTGCCTCTGTGGTGCTGGCAGGGTCTTGCTTCATCCGCACGGATCAGCTGGACGGGGAGACGGACTGGAAGCTGAAGCTGGGCGTGACGTGCACGCAGCGCCTCCCAGCAGTGGCGGTAGGCCCGTCCTGCGAGTCTTCGCCCCAACCCCCAAACACCCCCGACCCCCATCTACCCACTCCCCCGCGCGTCCTGCCGATCGCCAGCACATGCCCACGCTCCGTGCCGCCCTTCCCACCGGACACGCTCAGGGTTGAGCCGACCCCGGCCTCCCGTCCTAACAAATGCAATCTCGAACTTGATGTGGCGCTTTCGTGACTGCAGGAATTACTCTTTGTTTTTTTTTCGGTAAAGTCACGTAGAAATAATAAAAGTAAAATAAAATTATATAATAGCATACGACGTTTCGATCGCAACACAAGCAATCATCATCAGGCAGAGGAAACACATAACCGCAGATATATATACAGACCTTAGGTAGGGGGAATTAACACAGATATACCAGGGGACACAGAGAGACGGAACATCACACTAAATCAAACAGGGTTTAGCAAAATTTGGAAACTATATAAAGCAACACAAACGGTCGGTTAAAACACAACGCATGGTTTGGTTGAATACGCTGTTTCAAAGATTGTTAAATTGTAAGTAAGTATTCTATCACTATCTTAAATTTCACACTTAACTTCAGCTGTTGTGCCTCTTAATGTAAAGCAACGGAGAGAACCTGCAGGGAGAATTGGCACTCCCTTGGCACAGAATAATCCACTGGTGGGCTTGAGAACTATTATTATTCTACTTTGAAAAGTTTTCGAGTTTATATCGCTTCTTATGGACACGTGTAGCCCTGGTGCTCCAAGTTGAATTCATAAACTCTGCTGCATCAATTATTAAGTTTGCATCTGGCGTGAGTGGAGGATTGTGCAGAGGCTCTTGTGTCAGGGGGACGCGGTAAATCCGCGTTGGGCAGCATCGCTGCGGCTGAATGCCGTCGCTTTCCGCTGCCGCTGCTGCTTATTCAGGACTTGGTGACGATCAGCGCGCACGTGTACGCGGAGAAGCCTCAGCTGGACATCCACAGCTTCACGGGGACCTTCACGCGGGTGAGTCCCGCGACGCCAAGGTCGTAGTCGCTATCGTAACAAAATAACCGACTGGTTGCTGACGGAGCGCCGCCCTCCGCTACGCCGAGGTGTTCTTGGAGCGCGCAGAAACATTTGAAACGGCGCTCCCTGCGGCAGCGGTGCCCTTTGCGGCACGGCATGACTCGGCACCCCGGCCTGCTCGTGGGCGTTAGTCTCCCGGTGGCGAGCGATGATTGCTGCTGCTGCGTGTGTAATTCCCGTTGAGTAAGTTTTTTTTTTTCAATTTGGACCGCGGCGCCGGCACACAGAATCAGAATGATAATTATTTATGCTGGAGGAATCCGATGAGCTATAAAGCACTTCTTCACAGATGTCCAGTAGGGGCACTGGGTCAGAACGTTACAACAACAAATGACGCAAAATAAACGGCCTTCTCATGCAAATTACGTGACGGGATGTTTGCAGCGGACGGCGTGGAGTAGTTGACGGTTATTACACCGCAGTATTAGCCCCGGGTGGCCCACCGGTTTCGAACCGCGAACCTCTGCAACGAGCGACAACGAGGGCAACGTCACCTCCTCCCCCACCCCCCGCTACTGAACACGAGTCAACGGTTGGAGCGTGACGCCGATTCTTAGATTCAAAATGAAACGATTATACTCTTGGTGCATTGATTGCTGAATGCATATTACTACAATCACCGTCTACGCAGGTTCACACCGCCATCCGTGTTGCTACGCAGGTTCACACCGCCATCCATGTTGCTATACACTCCTCGTGCACCACAATTAAAACGCGATGATTTGTCCTCGAGTCGAATCTTGTCGCTCGATCGTTACCGTCCATCAAACCGCAGAGGAGTAAATCACCGCATTTCTCGTGCTTGTTCTAGGGGGGCCAATTCCAGCGCCGGGGAGACAAATCCGGCTGGGTGGGGGGAATGGGGAGGGGGGGTGGGGACGAGAGAGGGTGGCGGGGGCGGGTGTCATACCGGCCGCACCGATACCTCGCGACGTGGCCGGCCTCTGAATGAGCACGTGATTTTGCGCCCTCCCCTCGCGCGGCCTCGCATGATGAGCGAGGGGTGTCGCCCTGCTGTCTGTGCTCGAGTGCAGGAGGACGTGAACCCCACCATATCCGAGAGCCTGAGCATCGAGAACACGCTGTGGGCCAGCACCGTCGTGGCGTCGGGTGCGTGGATACGGCGCTCTGCTCGCGCCTGTTTAGTGACCGTCCGCGTACCCATGCCAGGCGCGGCTCCTTGGGTTTACCGACGTCTCCCTGGGAGTCCGGATCACCGAAATGCACGAAGCGAAGCGTTTTACTTTGTTTCGTATCACTCGACAAACGGCAGAGCCACAGGCCACGTTGTGGTTTGGCCTGGAAAGTGACACCATTTTCACCTGATGTCTTTCAAGGGTCAATCTGTTTTGTTATATATGGACCACACGCCAACTCTTTAACACTGCCATCGTGCTCACTCTGAACCCTAGAGAGGCCTGTTTCCGTCCTTAAACAAATCAGCGAGTGGTCATGCACAAGCACAAACAGTTTAAAACCTTCGCCAATAACAATAATGCTTAAAAGTTAAATATATTATAGACGAGGTTTCGGGCAACGGCCCTTCTCCATCGCACATAGATCTACTTGCCGTGCATTGCATAATGATGACGACGACGCGAGTGAAAGTGCGAGAGAGTAAAGAGGCATCGCCACGTGTGGCCCGGGCTGCAGGGACCGTGGTGGGCGTCGTCATCTACACCGGCAAGGAGACGCGCAGCGTCATGAACACCTCCCACCCCAAGAACAAGGTGAGGGCCCACGGGACCGCTCGCCCCTCTCCGCTCACCCCTCTCCCCTCTCCCCTCTCCGCTCACCCCTCACCCCTCTCCGCTCACCCCTCTTCGCTCGGCCCTCTTCGCTCGTCCCTCTCCGCTCGCCCCTCTCCACTCGTCCCTCTCCACTCGTCCCTCTCCCCTCGCCCCTCACCCCTCTCCGCTCACCCCTCTCTGCTCACCCCTCACCCCTCTCCGCTCACCCCTCTCCGCTCGCCCCTCTCTGCTCACCCCTCTCCACTCGTCCCTCTCCACTCGTCCCTCTCCACTCGTCCCTCACCCCTCACCCCTCTCCGCTCACCCCTCTCTGCTCACCCCTCTCTGCTCACCCCTCACCCCTCTCCGCTCGCCCCTCTCCGCTCGCCCCTCTCCGCTCACCCCTCTCCGCTCACCCCTCTCCGCTCGTCCCTCTCCACTCGCCCCTCTCCACTCGCCCCTCTCCACTCGTCCCTCTCCACTCGTCCCTCACCCCTCTCCCCTCACCCCTTTCCACCGCTGGCCCCTTGCCGCTCCCCCGCAGGTGGGGCTGCTCGACCTGGAGCTGAACCGTCTCACCAAGGTGCTGTTCCTCGCCGTGCTCGTGCTCTCCGTGGTCATGGTGGCGCTCAAGGGCTTTGACGGGCCCTGGTACCGCTACCTCGCTCGCTTCGTGCTGCTCTTCTCCTACATCATTCCCATCAGGTGCCCACCCAACGTGTCCCCGTGTTGACTGCGCTCACACCTAACACACCCCTGTGTTATTTACACTCACACCTAACACACCCCTGTGTTATTTACACTCACACCTAACACACCCCTGTGTTATTTACACTCACACCTGACTCATCCCCGTGTCAGTGCCGCACACACTGAACCCTGACTGCCGTGCATGTGTGTGTCTGTGTGTGTCTGTGTGTGTGTCTGTGTGGCTCTACATGCCTGTGTCCTCCTGTGTACTCCCCGTGTGTACCCCTGTGTGCTGGACTCTGCCTGTACGTGTCTGCGTGCCTGCGCTTGTGCGTGCGCGCCCGAGTAGGGAGCGGTAGCGTAGCAGACAGCGCACTGCACTAGAAACCTCGCCACCCGAGTTCGATTCCCTGCTTACTGCCGGCATCGGTGACAAACATCTGAACTGGTCCTGGGCCTCCCCTAGATAGACTCATCCTTAAATGAGCACCTGGTGCGGTGTGTAAACATCAGCATTGGAGAGACAAAGGTGTTCGGGCGTGGTGTTGACCATTCACCCCCTCGTGTGCCGTGCCAACCTTAATAGGTGCTCTCTACCGGCACTTTCCCCAACAGTCTTTTGGGAGTCTGTGGGGGGGGGGGGGGGTCTTTGTGTGTCTGTGTGTCTGTTGCAATTCGTTCGCACCCTACGTAGCCAAGCGTGTTAATCGGAGGTGCGTTCGTGTGCATGCAGCCTGCGTGTGAACCTGGACATGGGCAAGGCCGCCTACGGGTGGATGATCATGCGCGACGACAACATCCCCGGCACCGTGGTGCGCACCAGCACCATTCCCGAGGAGCTGGGCCGCATCGTCTACCTGCTCACCGACAAGACCGGTCAGCGCCCCTCCCCTCTCCTCCTCCTCCCCCCTCCCTCCCTTGTCAGGAACACATGCTGCCTGGGATTTTTTGTTGTTGTAGCCGGAAGCCTTATTTCTTTCAATTTTTTTTTCGGCTTCCCTGCTGCTAGTTCCATCCATTGGAGCCGTTCCTATTAAGGCCATTATGGCTAACGAACGACTTGGCTTGCGGAGGGCAGTAGCCCTCTCGGTGCGCGCTACGGCGGTGTTTGTCTGGATGTAATTACGTTAGACCTGGTCAACTGAGATGGCCGTGAGCTAAGGTTTGGGCCTAACCCATGGCTGTCGTCCCCTCTCTAATCACGTGCCAGTGAACCCATTAGCCCGGGTGGCTAGGAGATGTTAACTCCCTCGCTTGGTATACAGGGGGTCGTGGGTTCGATCCCAACCTTGAAGACCCCTGTATATTTGGAGTTTGCGTATTCTCCCCGTGGTCACGTGGATTTTTCTCTGGGTCCTCCGGTTTTTCCCTTTTTCTCTCCACATTTATAAACATGCATTTAGAGTATTTTGCTGTTATAATTTCCACGTGGTAAGCCACTTCATTGAGCTATCATTTGTGGCCAAGTCACTTAAAAAAAAGAGCCACGTGGCACAGTGGACATTCCAGTAAAACCTTGGATTGCGAGTAACTTGGTCTGCGAGTGTTTTGCAAGACGAGCAAATTTTTAAAATAAATATTAATTTGATAAACGAGCTAGGTCTTGCAATACGGGTAGTGTACGTATACGCTTTGTCTGCCGAGCGTCATGTGATCACAACTGATATACGAGTACTTTGATATGCGAGTGCTTTGGATTACTAACACGTTTCTGGAACGAATTCTGCTCGCAATCCAAGGTTTTACTGTACCTGGTAAAATAAAAATTAGTTTGTGTAGCCTCATCTTGTCCCATCCATAACGGCTCCCTCCTCTCTCTCTCTCTCCTGTCCTCTTTCCTACCCGAGTGTCTGACCCCGGCTGCCCTTTCGTGCCCCCACTCCCCACCGCACACCTTCATTGAGCAGGGATCTCGGCGCAGCCATGGGGGGGTGGGGGGGGGAGCAGGTCGGGACCGGAGCCGATAACCACGCCGGGTGAAGCAGCGGTTTTATTGGGCCCTGTTTAATTATAAGCCACGACACCTTTGCTAAGTTTGGTCATTTGGTGCTGATCTCATTGTTGTGGTGACCCTGCGATAATACCACAGGCCCTGCGATCGGCCCAGTCAAACCGCGCCACCACTGAGACCCTGTAGAACCCGTGTTCTGGGAGCACGGCTCCGACTCGCTTGTGCTGTCACCGGCGCCATCTTCAACATCCTTCATGAGAATTCCGCAGCAACTTCAGTGGTAGCGGCGGTGTGGCCACGGGGGAGCGCTGACGCCATGGAAACGAGGCTTTTATGACATCCATTACAGTCCCAATGATTTCAATCCCATTGATTACAATCCCGTGCTTCCTCCCCAGGGACCCTGACGCAGAACGAGATGGTGTTCAAGCGCCTGCACCTGGGCACCGTCTCGTACGGCACCGACTCGATGGACGAGATCCAGAGCCACCTCTTCAGCTCCTACACCCAGGTGAGGGAGTCGTACCGCGCCGAGAGCCGGTGCCCCACGGGGGGGCTGTCGGCACGCAGCTCCGGGCGCCGGCGACGTAGCGGCTAGACGCTCGTGGCTGGGCTCGTGGCCCCGCAGCAAAAACATCCCCCTCGGGGTTCGATTTCCCGACTCGGGCGCCACGTTTTTGTTGTTTGGGTTCGAGCACGTGAATATAAATGTGTCGTGAAACAAATGTATTTTTTTTTTTTACTATTTGTTATTTTACCAGGTAAGGCCCACTGAGCAATGTAGCTCCTTTTTCAGAAGCGACCTGGCTACCACTAACGATAGCCCAATGAAGAGGCTTACCACGTAGAAATCCATCGCAGCCAAATACTCTCAACACTTGTTGACTCTAAATGTGCAGGGAAAAACCAGAAGACCCGGAGAAAAATCGACGCAACCACAGGAAGAACATGGCGAGGTAGTTAACATCTCGCCACCACGGCTCGAAACCCGCCACCACCCCGACAGTCGGTTGGCAAGGTTTGTCACGTAGACAAAACGTGCCAATTCGTTGCTCGTTGAGCACACCGGTGTGTTGGAGAGTAAACCCACAACATTAACGCCTGTGTCGAGTTTGTATGTTCTCTGTCCCCCTGTTCTGCATGGGTTTCCTCGGGGTTCCTCTGTTTCCTCCCATAGCTAAAATAAATACACGCAAGGGAAATGCTGCTGGCCGAACATCCCATTGCTGAAATTTCACTTACTCTTTGGTTCTATTCGGTAAAGTCATGTAGGTAAAAAATAAAACAACAAAAATCATGACGTTTCGGCCACAACACAAGCGGCCTTCATCAGGTGAAGGGATCAGGCTGTCTCGAGGACGCTTGTGTTGTGGCCGAAACGTCGTGATTTTTGTTGTTTTATTTTTTACCTACGTGACTTTACCGAATAGAACCAAAGAGTATGGATCCTTGCAGTCACGAAAGCTTCAAATCTAGAAATTTCACTTGTCATTTACTCAATTGGATTACACACAGCAGCAGCAGCAACATTGCCCCCTACTGCAAATGCTTAGCACGATGCCATGGAAATTAATCTTGAGACTCAGTATAGCTTGCCTGGGTAAACAGGTGTAGTAATATAAATAACAAATCTGCACTGCGGTGACCTCCTGCTTGTGACAGGTGTAGAGGCAGTGTATTGTTATGGTAAGCATTACCCACAGTGCCTTGCTGTTCTTATTGCATTATCGTTATTTTATTTAGAATATGATAATCGTCAACCATGATTTATCCACCAATTAAACGATCTCTGTCACAGATATCGTTTAAACTGTCACAGATATCGTTTAATCTGTCACAGATATCATTTAATCTGTCACAGATATCGTTTAATCTGTCATAGATATCGTTAAATTGGTCGGCGTTTAGCTTTTCCGTAGCTGAGCCAGCCTAGAAGTTGAGCTCTCCAGTGGACCGTGTTGCAGTGCCCCCTTCTGTCCACCGCGTAGCCCCCCAGTCCCGGGACAGTCGGTTCTGTGCGCTGTGCTTGTCCGTTGGAACTCTGTGCTCCTCCTGTGAGGTACAGGCATATTGTGGGTGCTTTCTTCACTTACCACGGGTACACGCTCAGTGGGGGACATCCATATGGCATCTGTTTTACGAGAGAAACAAATGAAAGGTTAAGAAGCCACCGAGGACTGCGTTGCAGATGGCGCCCGCCACGTGCGGTGCCAGCAAAGGCTTCAACGGAACGTCCCGAAAGGGAGATTGCCGAGCAGTTCGAATGATCTCACGGCTTCGGATCGCCGTGAGAAAAGGTGTCGACCTCTCGGTTTGGCGACCGGGGGCCGTGCGGCAGGCGCCCCCTCGACCGCCCTCGCTCACTCGCCCCTGGCGAGCGTCCATCGCCCGGCAACCGATTCCGATTTGGAGCTTGCTCGTCGTTGCGGCTCCAAGCGTTGTTCGATAACCTCCGTTAGAAGCAAACTTTACTCGTCCGTTGGTAGCAGATGAGTATTTGTCGGGGGCCGAGGGGTCCGGGGCTTGGAGAGGTGCGGGGGGGGCGGTAAGGCACCGCTGTCTATTAGACTTGGGCTTGGTAATGGCCACAGCGCTCACTCTATTTCTATCGACGTGCACGCAGCGCTTTCATCCCCGGGTTTCTTTTTATTTATTTTCCACCAATGCCGGCCGGCCGACCCCCGATCGCGGCACCGCCATTTACCCAGGGGGGGCCCGCAGAGGCACCCGGTGAGAGCCCCTTAACCCGTTCCGCCTCCCTAACACGCCCCAAATTGGCGGGCGTTTGCCGCGCGCCTCCGACGCCGCTTAGTCACCGGCGGTGTCGCCGCAAGAGCCGCCGGCCCGGCACATCGATCGCCGCGGTCCGCGCGGCGGCGCCCGCGCTCGATCATCCGCGAGCGTCCGGCAGGCACACGTGCGTATCGACGTATTCCTCACGCCTGTCTCCCGGCCTGAGGATTTTATTACCGCTGCGCGCTGGGTGTGACAGCTTTCCAAAGCTGATCGTTAGTCGCATTGATCGCGAGCGCAGCGGTAATGTGTAAAATAGTGGCTTTTTATTTTCTTGAGAGCCGTGCGGTTTTGTTCTTTTTTCTTCTTGTTGTGCTCCTTTTGGATCGCCCCGAATTGCCGGGTTGGTTATTGTTGCCATCCCAGCGTGCGTGTGTGTGCGTGTTCCCTGCCGCTCTGCCTGTCGAGCGCCCCTAACTTGAAGGCCGTTAGGAGAGTCACGGATAATTTTTTGGGAGGTGGAAATGAAGTCTCGTGAAGATCGATACATTTAAACGTGTTCGGCTGTGTTCCCTCATAAATCGCCGCGGAGGTGAAGCCGACGGTGACGCCGCGTCGGTGCCTCGAGGGAGAGCCGGACCCAAACCGCACCTCCAGCCAGAAGCGGTCGTTTGGGGCTAGCGGCGGAGAGACAAAGGAACAAAATGCATGAATCGCATCGTTGGCCGTGTTAATAATATCTCGCTGAAAAAATGCCACTGATAATGCAAAAATGCGACAGAATTCAGCGGTAACACTGTGCGGCGTGCAGCCTTAAGAGGTGAAAGAATGTTTAAGGTTGACGTTTCAGGCAATAGCGATTCTTCACAGCACACATTGTTCAGTTGTTCTCTGTCGTAACAATGGTCTCATAGAAATTACATCTTTTATTGAGTTGTGTTCTTAAGGGGGGTCTGACACGATTGGTGACCGGGCAAATTTATTAAAGGGGATGTAAAAAAAAAAATAGCGATAAATTGTGAGCGTCCGATGATGTCACAACACGTGGAGTCTATTCCACGACGTCACGTGTTGTGTGACACCATGCCGTTGTCCGGCTCATTACCAGCCGTGATCAATCCACCGCTGGATGAATGCCTCCCCAATGAAATAATCAATGCTCGCGTACACAGTTCGATGCGCGAGTGTACTCACTGATTGAAATCCACGTCATGTCCATGAATCACCAGCGAGCGCCCCACTCGGTGAGGACATCGGAGTGGGAGCCACAGCGAGGAGGCGTCACACCCACAGTTAATCACTCGTCTGTCGGTGTGACTGCACAGGCTCGCGAACCGAGATCCACGTGCTCGTCCCTCCCAATCAACGGAGCGCCCCCTAGAGCCGGGCTTCTCAAGCTGTCTGAGCCGAGCTCCCTCTCTTGTAGCCCGTGTGGTGACTGCACTAAAATCCATTGCAGAGTACAGTCACTTTTACGTCTTACGTGGCCTTTTGCAGCCGATGGTCTCGTTTAAGAGATAGGTACTCGGCAAACTACTCACTCGTCTAGACAGATGGCAGTCTAGAGGTTGTGGTAAGATCGACCCTTTGAGGATACGGTGTCACTCTGGGCCATTTCCCCATCGGCCACTCGCGGTCGTTCTGTGCGCGTGGAGCCACAAGAGGGAAAAGCTTCCTTCTTCGTCCGGGGTCGGCAGTGGGGTGGCTTGCTTGAAATCCAATCGGTAAATGAAACGCGCGCACGCTCCACGTTGTACGACTGCGTTGCCGGTGAATGGGTTAAAGGGTAAAAGATGGCCGTGACGGAGCGGTAACAGCCGGCTGTGACCAAGGGCACGGCGTTCAAAATTACTCCGGCCTTTCCGCGCGCACTTTGAGCAAAATAATCAAAGCCAATTATGGCGGCCTTGTCGTTACACCGCGCGCTCAACTGAACTAAGCGCTGCCCCCATTTTTCTGCGCGACTCCGCTAAGTGGCGCCCGCGCACGCCGAGCGCCCTGCTAATGTTGTGATCTAGTGGCCGGCGGTGACCCCCGGGTGGCTCTCTGTCTTCCCTGTCACGATCGTGCATTTTCACCGGCGCTCACCGACCGACCGACCGACCGTCGCGCCGAGCGGCCGCCCGTCTATCGGCCGAGCTGCACCAGCGGATGATTGATGGAGTGACTCCGTGGCCCCGGGTTGCTGGGTCTCGACGCTCGTTCGTTCACTACGGAGCTCTCTCGCCGCCACGTTCGTCCAAGGACGGCCGGAGCACGGAAGTGCTGGTAGTGAGCGCCTCGCCACCCTGCGCTCAGCTGCACACTTGGGCAGAGCGAACCCAGTGCTCGCACTAATCAGCTGCCAGGAACAATTGCCACTGGCGTTGTTCACCCTGGTTACGAACTGAAAACGCGAATCCAGAAGTGTAGTGCAGTGCGATAACTGCTGTTCCAACAGCCGTTCGACACGAAGCGACGTCACCAGGGCGCTTGTGTCGGGCGAAGTGCACCTTGAGAACCATGTGAAGTGGCGAAGGCCCGCTGCTGGCGGGAGGTGACGGGGCAGAGCCAGGTGCTATGGGTTGACTGATTGCTCGCCAAAGATAAAGACACACACTGGGATCCCCCATCTTTCCATGTAGGCTCTTGAGAGAGGTGTTGTTTGTGAGTACCCATTAAGGCTTCGCGAGGCACGCATTGAGCGAACAAGGGGACGATGCAGCTAGCACAGCATGCCATGCCCCAGACATCGTTGTTTTCCAACAGCGTCCAGGTTCTCATTGTGCACAAAGTTGGCCGAGGGGAAGTCACGGGTAGCTTCGGTGACCAATTTTCCTTGTTGTGCGTGGCCTGCGGTGACATTTCGATTATTTTGCTGCTATAAATTTCGAAATGATAAGCCACTTTGTGGAGCTATCATTTGTGGCCGGGTTGCTTTTGCAAAATGAATTAATACCTCAGTGGGCTTTGTCTGGTAGGATGGGGATGGTTTAATTTTGTTTTTTGTGTAATTTGTTGACCATTCTTGTACTTGGCACTCCTGTCGTGTTTTAATATTATTGTTGTTGTTGTAAAGTTTTTACCCACCCCTACTGGACATTTGCGAAAAAGAGCTTGATAGCTCATAGAATTCCTCCAGTATAAATAAATATTCTGATTCTGATATGATTCACTGGAATTGTGTCACAGTGCGACGATTACCACTTGGTACCAGCCATCGGTAATCCATTTAGCTCCTGAACCTCATCAGCCCATCTCCTCTCCAGCCCGTGCCGCTCGCCCACACACTCGCACACCGGCCCATCTCTAGCCTGTGCCGTGCCCGTTTAGCCCCCGTATAGCCTGCACAGACTGTCGGGGCAAATGCTGTTAGCGAGCACCTATGAAGGTTAGCACAGCACACGAGGGGGTGGGTTGCCAGCACCACACCCGACCGCCTTTGTCTCCCTAGTGGCGATGTTTACACACCACACCAGATATTCATTTGTAGCTGAATCGACCTAGGGGAGGCCCAGGACGGGTTCAGATAATTGTCACTGGTGTTGGCCATGAGCGGGAATCGAAATGGGGTCGCCGGGTTCGTCGTGCAGTGTGCTAAACACTACACGACCGCTCCCCACTGCACAATATTCTCACACACACACACACTGTGGTGTAATGGCTTATTGTGTTGTGGTGACCCAGACCTTCCTTGCAAGTGAGACTCTACCCTGGCCTCTGGTGTTCTCACCCGATCACACCAAATAGGGTGCTCGCCCGGTCAACACTCGGTCACCTTGAACCCGTTGCGGGCGTCCTTGCCGCGCCGCCCGCACACGCGCCCACACACGCGAGTTGTGACCGCGCGTCGTTGCCCCCGTCCGGTGCAGGCCCCGTCGGGCCCGGCTCCGGGAGCGGCCCCGAAGTCCGGCGGCGCGGGCGCGCCCAAGGTGCGGCGCACCGTGGTGAGCCGTGTGCACGAGGCGGTGAAGGCGGTGGCGCTGTGCCACAACGTGACGCCCGTGTACGAGCGGCACGGGACCGCCGGGGGGGCCGCGCCCGCCGAGCCCGAGGACGCGGAGGCCGACCAGGACCTGAGCGACGACAACCGCGCCTACCAGGCCTCGAGCCCCGACGAGGTGAGCCTCTGCCGCCCCCGCTGCCGCTGCTCCTCTACGTGGCCCGACGGAGCGCGACGCGTGTTTGCCTGTAATACGGTCTGAACCTCCCGGAACGCGTGTTGTTTGCACGATGCGAATTGGATGTATGACGCGATGAATGTGTTGGAGGACACCTTTTTTTATAACGTGCGTGCAAATTGGATACAACGCGATCGGGTGAACGGAAGTACGTCCCGCGCGAGTAGGAATAAGCGGTTGTTGTACGGCTGCCTCGGCGTAGCGTCGCACGAGGCGGCGGGATGCTGCTGGATGCTTCTAGATGCTACCCACGTTCCTCGGCCTTTGTTCAGCCTGCGTACGCATCTCACGTGTTAATCGCGGACCGTGCTTTACCCTATATTATTTATGATGACGAACTTTTTTCCATAATGCGGTGTTCTTCAGGAACTCAACTCCTGCGTTAAAGGAGAACAGACCGTACATGACAGTGCAGTGCTGACGATAACAATCATTAGTCCGTACATTTGGTATTTGCGCGATCGTTTTATGAGTCTGTGTGTGCACATGAGCGTTCTGTTGGACGCCTGTGTACGTTTCTACACCCGTATTAATTTGCTTATGTCAACATGAAGTTATGTCAGCGTGTTGAGCGGCGTCACACCGTTTCATTACTTTGCTTTATGGTCCGGGCTCCTGGGAATCTGCACTGTGACTGACAAGTGCCATCTAAATCCGGCCTGGCTGTCCTCACAACCTAACGAGTGGCCGACACAATCGCGCAGTCAACAAAGGCAGCCAAGCATGGTTCCCCACCACTCCCCCCCCCACTCCCCCCATCCATCCCCCACCCCCATGTGGCACGCCGGGCTTAATAGGTGTTCGCTAACAACGCTGGCCCAGTAGCAGTCTGTGAGGCTACTTGGGGAGCTCTTTGTTGAATGCACACGCGCGTGAGCGTGTTCGCGAGCGAGTGAATGTACGCGCACGCGCGTGCGTCCGTGTGTGAGTGCGTGCGTGTGCGCGTATGCGTGCGTGTGTGTGTGTGCTGCTCGCTGGCGAGGCTCCGGCGTAGGCTGGGAGTAATTGGGGGTGTGTGTGTGTGTGTGGTGAGCGCATGGCACAGTTCACATTAAAACCCCGAGCGCATTGAATTCCCGCGCGGTGCCTCGGCCGCCGCCACCACCGCCATCCGAGACGCTTTCAGATTCGTGTCCTTTTTGTTGTTTGATTACAAAGCTATGAGCTCATTTTGGCATTTTCCCACGGACGGGAGAGATCCCCAGTGACCCCTCCTGTCCTCCCTCCGGTACACTCAGAAATTGTTCAGGGACCCTTAATCCTGGCATAAAGAAGTTAATTAACAGCCGGGGATTATGCTGTTTCAAGTGGAAATATCTACAGATGCAGCCGAACTGCAGTGACTCGCTCCCATATATTTACACGTGTGTGTGCGCTTGTGTGAGTGAATGTGTGTGTGTGTGCACTTGTGTGAGTGAATGTGTGTGCGCTTGTGTGAGTGAATGTGTGTGTGTGCGCTTGTGTGAGTGAATGTGTGTGTGTGCGCTTGTGTGAATGTGTGTGTGTGCGCTTGTGTGAGTGAATGTGTGTGTGTGTGCGCTTGTGTGAGTGAATGTGTGTGTGTGCGCTTGTGTGAGTGAATGTGTGTGTGTGTGCGCTTGTGTGAGTGAATGTGTGTGTGTGCGCTTGTGTGAGTGAATGTGTGAATGTGTGTGTGTGCACTTGTGTGAGTGAATGTGTGTGTGTGCGCTTGTGTGAATGTGTGTGTGTGTGCGCTTGTGTGAGTGAATGTGTGTGTGTGCGCTTGTGTGAGTGAATGTGTGTGTGTGTGCGCTTGTGTGAGTGAATGTGTGTGTGTGCGCTTGTGTGAGTGAATGTGTGTGTGTGTGCGCTTGTGTGAGTGACTGTGTGTGCGCTTGTGTGAGTGAATGTGTGTGTGTGTTTGCGCTTGTGTGAGTGAATGTGTGTGCGCTTGTGTGAGTGAATGTGTGTGTGTGCGCTTGTGTGAGTGTGTGTGCGCTTGTGTGAGTGAATGTGTGTGTGTGTGTGCTTGTTGAGTGAATGTGTGTGTGTGTGTGCGCTTGTGTGAGTGAATGTGTGTGTGCGCTTGTGTGAGTGAATGTGTGTGTGTGCGCTTGTGTGAGTGAATGTGTGTGTGTGCGCTTGTTGAGTGAATGTGTGTGTGTGTGCGCTTGTGTGAGTGAATGTGTGTGTGTGCGCTTGTGTGAGTGAATGTGTGTGCGTGTGCGCTTGTGTGAGTGAATGTGTGAATGTGTGTTTGTGCGCTTGTGTGAGTGAGTGTGTGTGTGCGCTTGTGTGAGTGAGTGTGTGTGTGTGTGTGCGCTTGTGTGAGTGAATGTGTGTGTGTGTGTGCGCTTGTGTGAGTGAATGTGTGTGTGTGTGCGCTTGTGTGAGTGAATGTGTGTGTGTGTGTGCGCTTGTGTGAGTGAGTGTGTGTGTGTGTGCGCTTGTGTGAGTGTGTGTGTGTGCGCTTGTGTGAGTGAATGTGTGTGTGTGTGGTTCGTGACGGTCAGCACCCGGGGTTTCCATTGCAACAACTCGGGGTTCATTTCAGCAGTGATAATGGCTACCTTACCCTGGCCTGGGACTCCCTTGAGTTAACTCATCATAATGTGGGTGCAAGGTCTGATCGTCCGCACGTCGGCAGGGGGTGGCAAAGGTCCCAACCAGCACCGCATCTGACAGTTGTCTCTCTATATATATAATCGGGGACGTTTGGCCAGCTCCAAGAACGAACGAGTTGCTTGCACAACAAAACCGAGTCGTGCCGGTGGGGCTGCGTTTCCGTGCGGCGAGCAGGTGGCGCTGGTGAGCTGGACGGAGAGCGTGGGCCTCACCCTGGTGAGCCGCGACCTCGCCAGCATGCAGCTGCGCACCCCGGGCGGCCACGTGCTCACCTTCACCATCCTGCAGGTGTTCCCGTTCACCTCGGAGAGCAAGCGCATGGGCATTATCCTGCGGGTGAGCGCACGCACACCTACGCACGCTGGCCCCCCGGGCACCTTCACGGTAGGGGTGGTTTTCCACTGGCCGTATGTTGAGACGAGCTGGAACCAAACCGTGATTCGCTGGCCTCACAACATGTCTGAATCTGGCTCGGGGGGCCAAGCAGGGCCAGGGCCGGGGCTTAATGAAACATCCATTGCGCGTGACGTCAGAGGTACGGCTCAGCTTTTGCAGTGGGAAAACATCGCCGGCGCCTCCTAAGCCGCGCCAGGCTGGTTTGGCACGGCCCAGGTGTGGCTCGGTTATGCACTGCTAAAGTAACATGAGTAATGTACGTATGTTTCTTCTTTTGCACCATACCTAGCCAACCGTGTTAAGCGGTGGTGCGGGGGAAGAACAACAAAACAAACACGAAAGGCAGTTCTATACAAATTAGTTTTAAATTTAGATTTTAAAGTACACAGCAGAACAATCTGAAAAGAGAGATGTGCTTCCACTAAGCCATTGGGACTACAAACACTGGCAGATGAGAGGCCACTGCTCAGGGTCTATCAGCCACCAACCCCTACACTGGGACACAATGCGACTTTTTAAAATCCTGACCAGACCATGGATCACATTCTGAGTCATTTTGAAGCTCAGAAATTAACAGGATCCATTGAAGACATCATTCAACATTCCCCCGAGTCCGTGCGTTGGCGATCCGACCTGAACATGGACATATGGGGGTGGCTGTACAAAGCCTCGCCCCAAGAAGGAGGAGAATTGGGGAGAATGCTCAGATTTCCATTGCGAGCTACACGAGTGCCACACAGTGGCCACCGTTGGTAAATGCGCCACGGGGGTCTGTGGCGAGCACGCTGCCGTGCCCGGCTCGCCGCGTCCGGCTCGCTGTGCTAATCAGGACGCGTGGTAAGTTTTGCTGGGAATGACATCCCGCACGCGTTAACGAGCGCGTGTCAACCCCGCGGTGCGGCGTCGCCGCTGTGCGTGCGCGCAGGATGAATCGACGGGCGAGATCGTCTTCTACATGAAAGGGGCGGACGTCGTCATGGCCAACATAGTGCAGTACAACGACTGGCTGGACGAGGAGGTAAGGACGCTTCTGCACGAATAATATAATCATAACAATAACAATCATTTCAGCGTGCAACGCCCCCGTCACAGTATTGCTCACTGTCTAAGAGAGAGAACGACCGCAGACGCGCGAAGAAGAGCCACAGGCAAGCAGGAAGGCAGCCCACACGGTGAGCCGGCACCAACAATTGCCCAAGCTCTGCGGTCCTCTATATAGTAAGGCGTTATCGGCCAAGTAATGAGTGTTAACATGTGGGAGAGAACCCACGCGAGTGAGGGGGAAACATCATTAGACTTCCTTTGCCAGGACCAAAATGTAATATTAGGGTTTTTCCCCCTTTTTTTCTGGCAACAAAACTGAAACCTTTTTACAAGGGGGAAACGCTTCGCGTTTCGTGTTTTATCGTGTCTATCACGCATCGATGAGCTTCGTGTGCCGTGTATCTGGACGCTTGTTCCTCACAGCAACAAGGTCCTGGGTTCGAGTCCCGGCTCGGGTGCCTTTCTGTTTGGAGTTTGTTCATTTAAATGCCACCGATTTGACAAATTGACACAAATTGGTGATTTCAGCCGAGGATGACGTTGTTGTCTCCCTGGCTGTCAAAGCCTCCTCAACGTGGCCCGAGACGACCGGTGGGTCAAAGTGCTGCTCACAGGAGACTATGGGGGTGAGCGAGCGAGCTAGCGGGTGAGCGAGAGTGGATGAGTGAGCGGGTGGGCGAGCGAGCTAGCGGGTGAGCGAGAGAGGATGGGCGAGCGAGCGAGCTAGTGGGTGAGCGAGAGTGGATGAGTGAGCGGGTGGGCGAGCGAGCTAGCGGGTGAGCGAGAGAGGATGAGTGAGCGGGTCGGCGAGCGAGCGAGCGTGTGGGTGAGTGGGGAAAGGCCGCCCCTCCGACTGCACTCTGCAGGCGCCGTGCAGAGCGACGCGGGTGGCGTGTCGCCTCTCGGGCGGGCGCGGGGGGGGGAATGTTTCTCTGCCCTGGTGCGACTCAACGAATTGTTGCGATTCGCGCATCACGGTTCCATTCCGGGATCTGAATCAAAACTGAGAGAGAAACGGAGCCACCAGCCCAGAAGGAGTTATTTGGCTGCGATAAATTTCCATGTGGTAAGCCACTTCGTTGAGCTATAATTTGTGGCCAGGTCGCTTCTCAAAAAGAGCCACGTAGCTCAGTGGGCCTTACCTGGTCAAATAAAACATAGTTTAGTTTAGCTGCGGGGACCGCCAGCGCATCACCGCTCCTGCTGCTACAGTACTTTTTCAGTGCCTACAGTGCCTATTCTGCCTTGCTTTGATGAACACACACGGGAGCGAGGGCCTTGGGCTCAAAGGACGGTGGCCGAGCTCCCGGCCCACCAGCGCGCGGACGAAGCCGCTTCGGCAGGCAGCACTCGGCCCGGCAGCCGCCAGTCGGATGCGAGCGGTGAAACGAAAGAGTCTTCTCTCAGGAAGGAAGAGATTCCAGCGGGCCGCGTCGCCGCCGATCGATACGGCGTTGATATTAAACTAAAATGCGACCCAACTGGGGTTTTTTCTTTAAATGTGCGTGGGCGCCCGCAGGCAGGAGCCGGTGTCGCCGGGAGTGGCTGATGGATTGATCACTCGGCCCCGCGCTTAATAAACGCTTGATAAATGAGCCCTCGCGCTCTCCCCCACGCCCCCACCTCCGTATATATATGGGGAGCCCGCTCTCACCCCCCCCCACTCTCCCGTGTATATGGGGAGCCCACTCTCCCCCCACTCTCCCCCCACTCTCCCCCCACTTTCCCCCCACTCTCACCCCACTTTCCCCCCACTCTCACCCCCGTGTATATGGGGAGCCCACTCTCCCCCCACTCTCCCCCACTCTCATCCCCGTGGATATGGGGAGCCCACTCTCCCCCCACCCCCGTGTTTTCGAGGAGCGTGCTCTCCCCCCACTCTCACCCCCGTGTATATGGGGAGCCCACTCTCCCCCCACTCTCCCCCCACTTTCCCCCCACTCTCACCCCCGTGTATACGGGGAGCCCACTCTCCCCCCACCCCCGTGTTTTCGAGGAGCGTGCTCTCCCCCCACTCTCACCCCCGTGTATACGGGGAGCCCACTCTCCCCCCACTCTCCCCCCACTCTCCCCCCACTCTCCCCCCACTCTCATCCCCGTGTATACGGGGAGCCCACTCTCCCCCCACCCCCGTGTTTTCGAGGAGCGTGCTCTCCCCCCACTCTCACCCCCGTGTATATGGGGAGCCCACTCTCCCCCCACTCTCCCCCCACTCTCCCCCCACTCTCATCCCCGTGTATACGGGGAGCCCACTCTCCCCCCACCCCCGTGTTTTCGAGGAGCGTGCTCTCCCCCCACCCCCACCCCCGGGGGGCAGCACTCACAATCGGTTTCGGACGCCGCGCCCCTGACGCGTGGAAGTGATTTCATGGCTGTTTGTCGCCCGTAAAGGCCGCGTTATTTTTTCACCCAACCCTCGCGCCACCGCCGCTGCCGCTGCCACGTCGCGTTCCTCGCGACCGACGTTCGGCAGCCAGGCGACGGCGCGGCCCCGAGCGGAGCTAGACCACCATGCGGGATCGTGAGTCGCGCTGCGTGCGACGCCTTCTCCCAGCCGCTTGAACGTAGACGTCGAACCCAAGGGTTCTTTGCGGAGAGCTCGTTCGTCCGAGTGAGGGCCGTGAGAGGCACGGTGTGCCCATCCTCGGGGTGTCGCTGAGCGGCGCGTGTCGACCGCCAGACCAGAACCACACGAGGTGTGATACGTGTAGGCGCAGCTAGTAACGCCGCAGTGGCGAGATGTTAACTCCCTCGCCTGGTATACAGGAGGCCGTGGGTTCAATCCCGACCCTGACGCCTGCTGTATATTTGGAGTTGGCGTGTTCTCCCCGTGGTCGCGTGGATTTTTGTCCGTGTCCTCCAGTTTTTCCCTCCACATTTAGAAACAGGCGTTTAGATTATTTGGCTGCTATAAATGTCCACATGACGATAAGCCACTTCCTTGAGCTAATATTTCTGGCCAGGTCTCTTCTGAAAAAGATCTCTATAGCTCAGTGGGCCTTAACTGGTAAAATAAAAAATGTAAATAGAATAACACACGAGGGTTCCCATCCACGATGCCTCGTACCCAGTGGTCATGGATTATGAGGCCACCACGCTGATGAGACACAGTGAAGTCGAGACCGGCGCACCACGTTGAGCCGAATGCCTAACCGACGCTTTGCCAATTCTTTTAGGTGGTTGTAAAAGAAAAAAGGCATGTTTGCTGGTGTGTTGACAATTTTGCTGAAGTATGAAAAAAAAATCGACCTGTGTGGCTGACCTTTCATTTCCCCATTGTAATTTGCACCAACCTTAGTCGACGTCATCAACTTGGCCACTGGTGTCTGCGCACAAGGGAGGAATGTTGAAGTTCCAGGTCGTCCTCTACGCGCTACAGCGCTGCACAACGCATTGTGCGACAAGCCGTCGTAGACATTCTGAAATCCCCTCGGGGTACTTTTGAAGCGGCCGCAGGTGGTTCCAGCTGTTCGCGTGAGTTGTTTGCTGGGCACCTGTAGACTCGTGGATAGCGGGCGCGCTGACTCGGCAAGGCCTCACGCCTCCGATTGGCCGAGCGGCGCGTCGCGTCCGCGCTGTCGCCGTGAAGCCTGCTGCACCGGGAATGTCGGCCTGTTCCCAGGTGGAGCCTTTGATCCCATTGGGGGCTGGATCGTGGCTGTGGCTACCTTGCGAGGGAACAATAATAGTCGTTGTGATAGCACACGCTGAATTCTCGCTGCGAGTCGCTGACGCAGTTCGGAGGTGCCTGGCAAGGCCCGAGCGTCGCTCGCGTGTTCTCACCGAGTGCTCTGATGTACAGTTGTCGTTGCTCCTGTCTCGGTGAGGCCGCCGGTGAAGCCCTCGCTCGGTGCGTCTAGCCCAGGGGTCGGCAACTTGCGGCTCCACGGGGAACTGGAAGTCCAGTTCACCGTGGAAGTCCAGTTTACAATGGGCGTGCAGTTTACCATGGGCACGGGTCGGTAACTTGCGGCTCTAGAGCCGCATGTGGCTCATGAAGGACTCTTTGATGACGTTGTTTATTAAGGATCGCCGTCTCGTATTTACACGCCTTCCGGCTCTTGAAATATTGGGTTTTTTTTAAATGTCTCTTGTTGTTGTTTGGGTTGCCAAACCCTGGTCTAGCCGGAGGAAGCTTATTCCAGACGCGGGGAGCGGAGGCTGTGAAGCGACGTTTCGTGAGCTCGTTACAGCACCGGCGTCGAGATTGGCATTTGTGAAGTCGCTCGTTCTGTGCCTGGCGTCGCTCGCCGGGCTCGGGGATCGTGAATGACAAACTCTCCGGCTGATGGTGAATTAGCGCCCAATCACGCCTGGAGCCAGAGTTTGCCTTGCCAACAGCCGGTACCAGCGGCGTCAAGATCACACAGCGAGGTGGCGCGGTGGGGAACACAGATGGTGCATACGCCAGTCAGTCAACCCATAATACGTGGGTCTGTGCCGTGACCTGTCAGCAGCGAGCCTTCCACACTTGACGTGGCTTGAGCGCACCTAGCCTGGCGCGAGCACCGTGGTGTCGTCACCGCCGACCGGTGGTGGTCGGGGGCTGCTGCTGTTGATGAGGTGTGCGACGCGGAGGCTGACGGTGCCGCTGTTGCTGTGTGTGGCGCAGTGCGGGAACATGGCAAGAGAGGGCCTACGCACGCTGGTGGTTGCGAAGAAGACGCTCACGGAAGAACAGTACCAGGACTTTGAGGTAAGAGTACGCATCACGCACGCACGTGCGTGCGTGTGTGTGTGTGTGGAGAAGGCGTATGGGTTAGCGCACTGCACTACAAACCTGGTGTGTCTGTGTGGTGTATCGTGATGTGTGTATTTGTTTGTGTGCTCATGTCTCAGTGTGCGTGTCGGTGTTTGGGTCTCGGTGTGCATCTTTGCGCGTGTGCTTTGGTGTGTGTCTGTGGTTTGGTGTGTGTGTGTGTCTTTGTGTGCTTTGGTGTGTGTCTGTGGTTTGGTGTGTGTGTGTGTGTCTTTGTGTGCGTCGGTGTGTATCTGTGGTTTGGTGTGTGTGTGTCTTTGTGTGCGTCGGTGTGTATCTGTGGTTTGGTGTGTGTGTGTCTTTGTGTGCGTCGGTGTGTATCTGTGGGCGCGCGCGTCTCGGCGTCCGTGCGTCGATGTGTGTGTGTGTGTGTCTTTGTGTGTGTTGGTGTACATCTGTGTGTGAAGGTCTCGGTGTGTGTGATTGTGCGTCAGTGTGCGCCTGCGTGCGAATGTCTCGATGTGCGTGTCGGTGCGTGCCTTTGTGTGTGTCTTCGTGCGCGTCCGTGCACGCTGCGCGTCTCGGCGGCGTGCACGCGCCGGCGCGCCGCCCTCACGTCCGTGTCCACGCGCGCCCTCGCTGCTCCCTCGCTGCTCCCTCATTGCTCCCTCGCTGCTCCCTCGCCACGCACAGAGCCGCTACAGCCAGGCGAAGCTGAGCGTGCACGACCGCTCGCTGAAACTGACGGCGGTAATCGAAAGCCTGGAGCGCGGCATGGAGCTGCTGTGCCTCACGGGCGTGGAGGACCAGCTGCAGCTGGACGTGAGGCCCACGCTGGAGATGCTGCGCAACGCCGGCATGAAGGTGGGGACGGCGGGGGCGGTCGCGCACGACCCACACGCGGCCCCAACAAGTAACCCACTTGGCAGCGGGAGGTGGAATCGCGGCGAGGATGTAAATGTGAACAGCGCATGTCAACGCACTGTACACATGCTGGGACGTGCAGGGGCCCGGGGAAATGTACACGGAGACGGTGATGGGGTAGGAGACGGTGATGGGTGTAGGAGATGGTGATGGGGTAGGAGATGGTGATGGGGTAGGAGATGGTGATGGGGTAGGAGATGGTGATGGGGTGGGAGACGGTGATGGGGTGGGAGATGGTGATGGGGTAGGAGATGGTGATGGGGTGGGAGATGGTGATGGGGTAGGAGACTTTTGGACAGCTAAAAACTTGACACTCTCAGGCGCCTTCAAAGATATTTCATGGTGCAGAGACACTCGGTGAGAGGCAAAGGAGAAGAGGAAGGACTTGAGCCCGAATTCGAACAGGAAGTTACCAGTTGTGATGGGTCGAGGGTGGCAGCTGCAGTTGAAAGGCAAGGAGCTGCCATCGCGACGAGAGCGTGGAGGCGAGCGGGGCGACTCCCCTTGCGGGCGATGCCAACGATGACGCCGCTTCCTCGTGGGGGAGCGGCGCAGGGATGGTCACCCGCTCGTCCGCAAGGGTCACGATGTTCGGAGTGTGCGTTGGAAACCGAAAGTCGCCCGTGAACGTGGAATTGCGGGAGGTGGTGACGCGCGTGCGCGTGCCGCCCACGGGCCGCAGATCTGGATGCTGACGGGAGACAAGCTCGAGACGGCCACCTGCATCGCCAAGAGCTCGCGCCTCGTGTCGCGCACGCAGGACATACACACCTTCCGCAACGTGAGAGACACGCGCGCCTTGAGACGCACGAGCGACACACACACGCACCTTGAGACGCACGAGCGACACGCACCTTGAGACGCACGAGCGACACACACACACACCTTGAGACACGTGCTGTGAGTGCGGGGCCCTGTGTGTGACGCCCGTGCTGTGTTCCCCAGGTGAGCAATCGCGGGGAGGCGCACTTGGAGCTCAACGCGTTCCGCCGTAAGCACGACTGCGCGCTCGTCATCTCGGGCGACTCGCTGGAGGTGTGTGCCGCGCCGCCACCACCGCCGCACCACCACCGCACCACCACTACCTCCCTACCACCTCGCCACCACCGCACCACCACTACCTCCCTACCACCTCGCCACCACCGCACCACTAACGTCCTACCGCCGCGCCACCACCACGCCAGCACCACGCACGCGTTTGCTCTACCAAATTGAAGGTGCCACACAAAGAAGCACCTGGTCCCGTTTTAAGTGGCGCGGTAACCATGGAAGCTGAGCAAGAGGTCGAGGGCGCTTGACCCCTTTGTCACGTTTAGAAGAAACGTGCGCTAAGAGGCTCGGCCGCGTAGCGCTGCACCCGCGTCCGCACACCGAGCCGGCACCGCTCGGATACCGTGTTCGAATCCTGGCCTTTGTGCCCGGGATTAATTGGCCGAGGTTCCCGCGTACGTCGTGAGCGGACATCTGTGGAAAAGAACCTCGTCACAGCTCATCGGATTCCTCCAGTCTAAACGAAGATTCTGATTCGGAGTGCGGCGAAGGCGTCAGACTGCCGAGCCGACGTCTTCGCTCTTAACTCCGCCGGGTAAACGGTCGTGACATGCTGCGTGCAGCGGAGAGTTTGTGGGCAGAGAGGACTCCTGGGGGAGGCTCAGAGGAGTAATCGCTATAAACGGACAATTGGTATTGGCGTTGTCATTCTTCTAGCGCAAGGCGAGCACAAGCTGCTTTTTGAAATGGTATTCGAACTGCTTTTTGTGTTTGATTGTCCTTCCCACGCTCCTCCGATTAGCACGGTTGGCTATGTACGGTGCGAAAGAAGTTTCAACATACATACAAAGGCGCTATGTTCAATAGTCTGCAGCAGTCCCACAGTAGGAGGCGATGTTATACGTGAAATCTCAGTTCAGTGTGGGTAATATTTTGAAGTTGACGCCCCCGATCTGGAACGAGGAAAAAGTTTCTTGAGAACTTTCTCTTCCCCCCCCCCCCCCCCCCTTTAGATTACGGCGTTCGCCTTTTTTAAAACTATCGCCACGGACGAGCGGGCGGGCGGGCGGGCGGGCGGGCGGGCGGGCGGTCGTTCGAGCGGTAATTGAGTTTGTCGGCGGCAGCCAAGCGAGGGTTGGAGGGTGGCGGCCGTGACGGCTCCGGGCCCCGTGGCGACGAGGAGGGTTTTTCCCCGGCAGCTGCCGCAGCAGCGGCGGTGGCGGTGGCGGTGGCGACTCGCGCTGCGTGTGAGATTTAGTGGCTCCGCAATGGGGGCTGACAGGCGGCCGGGGCTATTGATAAAAGTGTTAGCGCGGCAGGCGCGGGTCAAACCTCCGATGACAGGTTTGTCTGCCCAAGAAAACGTAGGCAATTTGTCTTCTTTCTGCGTCCAATCTGCGCCGTATTGACTTTCTGTTAGGCCTGCGCTTAGTGTGGCTGGGCTGGGGGTGGAGGGCCGGGGGGGGGGGCGCAGAGGGAGGGGGGGGTGGAGGGCCGGGGGGGCGCGGAGGGAAGTGGTGGGGGGGGCGTGGTGCATGGGGTGCCGAGGGGGTCGGACTGGCGGCTGTTGAGGAGCGAAGGGGGACGGGGCGACTTGAGGAGCATGACGAGTGAGGGGGAGGAGGAGGAGGTAGTTTTTGTGAACACAACGACGACGAGAACACTCGTCGCAGCTGAGGAGCCCGCTGGGCGGCTCAGGCTCAATGGCCCGATCCGGAGAGTGACCACTGTGAACTTCCCACAAACGCCAGTGTCTGGTTTTGTCACCCGTGGAGGGGATGATGAGCTGATTAACCCATAACTGGGATGTTAACTCGGACCCCTCCAATCGTCTGTCACTGTGCAACCCATTTCATTTAATGCGTTTTGTGTTTTTTTTTTCATTTTGTTTCCGCTGAGTGAGAGCCAATTGAAGGTCCTAATCCTGTGATTTTTCTTGGGAGGCCAGTGTCCACTGCCGTTGTGACCAAGGGCGGATTGAAACAACCCTGCCGGAGTGTGCGAGTGTGAGGCAGTCCGTGTGGGGAGCCGTAGCGTAGGGGTGAGTGCGCTGCGCTACGAACCCGGCGACTTCAGTTCGATTTCCGGCAACATCAGTGACCAATATCCGAACCGGTCCTGAGCCTCTTCCCCCAGGTCGACTCAGCCTCAAATGAGTACCTCGTACGATGTGTAAACATCGCCACTGGGGTGTGGTGCTGGTCACTAACCCCCTCGTCTACAGTGTTGGCCTTCATAGGTGCTCGCTAACAGCACTTGCAAGCACCGCAAGGCTATATGGGGGATCTTTGGTTTTGTCTGTGTGTGTGGTACGAGCACTGGAGTGGTTCAGTCCCAGAAAACCTGGTTTCAGACCGGGCCGTGCCATCATTGGAAATTGGAAGCTGAAACTTGACCTGAGTGTTCTTTAAAACGGTGGAGTTTTGTTTTATCATCAGCAGTAGAGAGAGAAAGGTGGTCGCGTGTGCGGTCCTCCCCTCACTCCTGCTCTTAACCGGTGCTCGCCAACAGTACTCGCCCGAGCATTCTGGAGTACACAACAAGCGATCTTCGTGTGTGCGCATTCGCAAACTTATGAACGCGCGCGGGCTCGTGTGCGTGCACCGGTGTGTACATCGATGGGCGTACTCCGCGCCCACACGTATGAGCACACAAAAGCCGACCCGCCGCGCTGGCTGGAATATCCACACCCCAGCGGTAACGCAGGCCCGGGCACCTTGGGAAGGGGTCACAGGTCGCGTGAAGCTCAGCCAAAGGTCGTGCCTCTGGAGGTGGCCGGCAACGAGCATTCGTCTTCATTAGCGTCACTCAGGCGTCGGGGACGCAGCCACCGCTGCTCCCCCTCTTATCTCACGCTCCCCCGGTGCCGCGCCGCTATTAAGGCGATCACCCTGCTCACCCACTACACATTTGGAACTCTCTCTTTATTGTGAGAGCGAGTGTGTCTGTGTGTGTGTATGTGTGGAGCGGTAGCGCAGCGGTTAGCGCGCTGCGCTACGAACCTGGCGACCCGGGTTCGATTCCTGCTCATGGCCAACACCGGTGACGATTATCTGAACCCGTTCTGGGCCTCCCCTAGGTCGACTCAGCCTAAAATGAGTACCTGGTGCGGTGTGTAAACATCGTCGCTAGGGAGACAAAGGCGGCCGGGCGTGGTGTTGGCCACCCACTCCCTCATGTGCCGTGCCGGCCTTCATAGGTGCTCGCTAACAGCACTAGCGCCAACAGTATGTTAAGGCTATACAGCGGATCTTTGACTTTGTCTTAGTGTGTCGGTTTGTGTGTTCCATTGTGTGTGTCTGTCTCTATGCTTGTATGTAGGGGAGTGGTAGTGCAGTTGTTAGCACACTGCTAAAAATCCAGAAACCTGAGTTCGGTTACCACTTACAGCAGAGGTCTCACTCCAAAGCAGTCTGATTGTCTTCTCATGTGCCGTGCCGGCCTTCATAGGTGCTCGCTAAAAGCACTAGCGCCAACAGTATGTTAAGGCTATACAGCGGATCTTTGACTTTGTCTTAGTGTGTCGGTTTGTGTGTTCCATTGTGTGTGTCTGTCTCTATGATTGTATGTAGGGGAGTGGTAGTGCAGTTGTTAGCACACTGCTAAAAATCCAGAAACCTGAGTTCGGTTACCACTTACAGCAGAGGTCTCACTCCAAAGCAGTCTGATTGTCTTCTCATGTGCCGTGCCGGCCTTCATAGGTGCTCGCTAACAGCACTAGCGCCAACAGTATGTTAAGGCTATACAGCGGATCTTTGACTTTGTCTTAGTGTGTCGGTTTGTGTGTTCCAGTGTGTGTGTCTGTCTCTATGATTGTATGTAGGGGAGTGGTAGTGCAGTTGTTAGCACACTGCTAAAAATCCAGAAACCTGAGTTCGGTTACCACTTACGGCAGAGGTCTCACTCCAAAGCAGTCTGATTGTCTTCTCATCGGCTGTGCGACACTGTGTGCGAGCTGCCTGGTCTTTCGCTCCACATGGAGCTCTGGGTCCTCTCGGCCAGTTATTCCCTCCCAGTCCTATACTTACAAAACGCGAATTACCTTTTCATGAACACCTCCACTGGCCCGTCAACGATGCATTCTGGATTTAACCAGAATGAAAAATCTGGACACAGTCCGTTCAGTAAAGCTCCTCCGGCAGGCGAGGCTGCATTGGCAGGGTCATGTAGCATGCATGCCCAGCCACTGCGTACCTGAGCATCTTCTGTTTGGCCGGATAGAGGGGGCTAAACAGAGATGACACGGGCTGGAGAAGAGATGGCCTCGTGCGATACAGAAGGACTGGACTTGCCGATCATCATTACCAGCGGTTTCAAGATCGCCTTCTGTGGAGTGGGTTCGTGAATGACGCTGCTGGTCAGTTGGATGCATTATCCCTCCAACAACAATGGAGGTTAGAGGAGCGATACCCACTGCAACAAGTATCCAATGTGTAAAAAAAATATGTATTTGTTATCTGGAGGGACAGATATATGAAGGGAAGACATAGAGTAAACCCTCGCTGAGCGCGAGTTCTGGGTTCAAGGGTTTTGCATATCCGCGAGTTTACTAAGAGTATACCAATTCCCTATTCAGGACCCGCCAGACTCGAGTGTTCGCGAGTGTACATCGCGTCAGACCCCCGACACCGGGGAGGTGCCGCAGAATGCTGTTACATTTTAAACGGTCTGCGAAGATTAGGCACGCCACCCTCGACCGCCCGCTGAGTCCTCAGTTTCGCAGTAATCCCGCTCTGAACTTACTATTGTGCAGTTTTACGTTGCTTGTACCTACAGTCGACTCGTTTACACGTCTTGGTATCAACGAGTTGATTTGTGAGGTCCAGTCAAAAGAATGGCGAATGCAGTCATGGAAAGCGTTTCAGCTAGCGCTCCCCAGAGTGCTAACGTGATAACAGCTGTGCGGTGTTGTTATCAAACACCTGGATAGAGAGGGTTTACCGTACTGCCTGAATAGAGAGGGTTTACCATACTGTCTGTATAGAGAGGGTTTACTGTACCGTCTGGATAGAGAGGGTTTACCATACTGTCTGGATAGAGAGGGTTTACCGTACTGTCTGGATAGAGAGAGTTTACCGTACTGTCTGGATAGAGAGAGTTTACCGTACTATCTGGATATAGAGAGTTTACCGTACTGTCTGGATAGAGAGGGTTTACCATACTGTCTGGATAGAGAGGGTTTACCGTACTGTCTGGATAGAGAGAGTTTACCGTACTGTTTGGATAGAGAGAGTTTACCGTACTGTCTGGATAGAGAGAGTTTACCGTACTGTCTGTATAGAGAGAGATTACCGTACTGTCTGTATAGAGAGGGTTTACCATACTGTCTGAATAGAGAGGGTTTACCGTACTATTTGAATAGAGAGGGTTTACCATACTGTCTGGATAGAGAGAGTTTACCGTACTGTCTGGATAGAGAGGGTTTACCATACTGTCTGGATAGAGAGAGTTTACCGTACTGTCTGGATAGAGAGAGTTTACCGTAATGTCTGTATAGAGAGGGTTTACCGTACTGTCTCTATAGAGAGGGTTTACCGTTCTGTCTGGATAGAGAGAGTTTACCGTACTGTCTGGATAGAGAGAGTTTACCGTACTGTTTGAATAGAGAGGGTTTACCATACTGTCTGGATAGAGAGAGTTTACCGTACTGTCTGGATAGAGAGGGTTTACTGTACTGTCTGGATGGAGAGAGTTTACCGTACTGTTTGGATAGAGAGAGTTTACCGTACTGTGTGGATAGAGAGGGTTTACCGTACTCTCTGTATAGAGAGGATTTACCGTACTGTCTGGATAGAGAGGGTTTACCGTACTGTCTGGATAGAGAGAGTTTACCGTACTGTCTGGATAGAGAGGGTTTACTGTACTGTCTGGATAGAGAGAGTTTACCGTACTGTCTGGATAGAGAGGGTTTACTGTACTGTCTGGATGGAGAGAGTTTACCGTACTGTCTGGATAGAGAGCGTTTACCGTACTGTCTGGATAGAGAGAGTTTACCGTACTGTCTGAATAGAGATGGTTTACCGTACTGTCTGGATAGAGAGAGTTTACCGTACTGTCTGAATAGAGATGGTTTGCCGTACTGTCTGGATAGAGAGAGTTTACCGTACTGTCTGGATCGAGAGAGTTTACCGTACTGTTTGACTAGAGAGAGTTTACCGTACTGTCTGGGTAGAGAGAGTTTACCGTACTGTCTGGATAGAGAGGGTTTACCGTACTGTCTGTATAGAGAGTGTTTACCGTACTGTCTGGATAGAGAGAGTTTACCATACTGTCTGGATAGAGAGGGTTTACCGTACTGTCTGTATAGAGAGTGTTTACCATACTGTCTGGATAGAGAGAGTTTACCGTACTCTCTGTATAGACAGAGTTTACCGTACTGTCTGTATAGAGAGGGTTTACCGTACTGTCTGGATAGAGAGAGTTTACCGTACTGTCTGGATAGAGAGGGTTTACTGTACTGTCTGGATGGAGAGAGTTTACCGTACTGTTTGGATAGAGAGAGTTTACCGTACTGTCTGGATAGAGAGGGTTTACCGTACTGTCTGTATAGAGAGGATTTACCGTACTGTCTGGATAGAGAGAGTTTACCGTACTGTCTGGATAGAGAGCGTTTACCGTACTGTCTGGATAGAGAGAGTTTACCGTACTGTCTGAATAGAGATGGTTTACCGTACTGTCTGGATAGAGAGAGTTTACCGTACTGTCTGTATAGAGAGTGTTTACCGTACTGTCTGGATAGAGAGAGTTTACCATACTGTCTGGATAGAGAGGGTTTACCGTACTGTCTGTATAGAGAGTGTTTACCATACTGTCTGGATAGAGAGAGTTTACCGTACTCTCTGTATAGACAGAGTTTACCGTACTGTCTGTATAGAGAGGGTTTACCGTACTGTCTGGATAGAGAGAGTTTACCGTACTGTCTGGATAGTGAGGGTTTACCGTACCGTCTGGATAGAGAGAGTTTACCGTACTGCCTGTATAGAGAGAGTTTACCGTACTGTCTGGATAGAGAGGCTTTACCGTACTGCCTGTATAGAGAGAGTTTACCGTACTGTCTGGATAGACAGGGTTTACCGTACTGCCTGTATAGAGAGAGTTTACCGTACTCTCTGGATAGAGAGAGTTTACCGTACTGTCTGGATAGAGAGAGTTTACCGTACTGCCTGTATAGAGAGAGTTTACCGTACTCTCTGGATAGAGAGAGTTTACCATACTGCCTGTATAGAGAGTTTACCGTACTGTCTGGATAGAGAGGCTTTACCGTACTGCCTGTATAGAGAGAGTTTACCGTACTGTCTGGATAGACAGGGTTTACCGTACTGTCTGGATAGAGAGAGTTTACCGTACTGTCTGAATAGAGAGGGTTTACCGTACTGTCTGTATAGAGAGTGTTTACCATACTGTCTGGATAGAGAGAGTTTACCGTACTCTCTGTGTAGACAGAGTTTACCGTACTGTCTGGATAGAGAGGCTTTACCGTACTGCCTGTATAGAGAGAGTTTACCGTACTGTCTGAATAGAGAGGGTTTACCGTACTGTCTGGTCGCCTTGGTGGTCGACGGCAACCTCGTAGGAGGGGCAACTTGAACAGCAACTGACATTGAAGTCACGCGCGCATTCGCGGCCCCGACTACAGGGGCAACGCGGACGTGGGTTTCGCGTTGAATTTGACCCCTGCCCTCTCCGCGCCCTACACCGACTCGGCCCCCAGCTGGGCGAGCCGCTGCCCGGCCGCGCTTACGGGGGGCTCGGCGCTGGCTCCCGCGGCCACCGTGGCCGGCTCGCCGGTTCCCGGGGCCCCCGTGCCGCTCCCGGTTGACGTGACGTGTGACCCCCCCCCCACGCCCCCCCCGTGCCCCCACCCCAGGTGTGCCTGCGCTTCTACGAGCACGAGTTCATGGAGCTGGCATGCCAGTGCCCCGCCGTGGTTTGCTGCCGCTGCTCGCCCACGCAGAAGGCGGAGATCGTGCGGCTGCTGAAGACGCACACGGGCAAGCGCACGTGCGCCATCGGTGAGGTCCCCGCGAGAGGGGGGGGGGGGGAGGGGCGAGAGAGGGGACAAGTGCAGGGACAACATGGAACACAGCACAGTGACCCCCAACTCACTAACCACTACCACACTAATACCACCCACTGCCACGCGCTAATAATAGATCATCGCTAGCACGTGTGCCCTGTAATTGGCGTCAGTCTGTTTTCACCGGGAGTCACGGGGTCGCGCTTGAGCTGCTGGTGTCTGTGCGCTGCACCCCACACCCCACAGGCGATGGGGGCAATGACGTGAGCATGATCCAGGCCGCAGACTGCGGCATTGGCATCGAGGGCAAGGTACGGCGCCCCCCCTCCCTCTCTGCGACACGCGGCCCCGGCCTCGTGACGGCGTTAATGACGACGGGGTAATCGTGGCGGCGGCGGCGGTGGCGATGATGATAAAGATTGTGGTGCACGGTGGTGATTCTGACGATCGGGGTTTCCGCGGCGATGATGGACGGCCGTAGTGTTAGTGACGAGGATGGCGCCGGTGCACGAACGGTGATGCAGGAAGGCAAGCAGGCGTCGCTGGCCGCCGACTTCTCGGTGACTCAGTTCAAGCACATCGGCCGCCTGCTCATGGTGCACGGACGCAACAGCTACAAACGCTCTGCGGCGCTCAGCCAGTTCGTGATCCACCGCGGGCTCATCATCTCCACCATGCAGGTGAGCGCCGCGCTCATGGGCACGGTGACGACGGCGACGACGGTCACCGCGACAACGGTCACCGCGACAACGGTCACCGCGACGACGGTGACGACGGTCACGGTGACGGTGACGACAGTGACGACGGTGACGACGGTCACGGCGACGACGGTCACCGCGACGACGGTCATGGAAACGATGATGGCAACAGTCACGGTGACGACGGTGACGACGGTCATGGTGACGGTGACGACGGTGACGATGGTGACGACGGTGACGACGGTGACGGTGACGGTGACGACGGTCACGGTGACGACGGTGACGACGGTGACAGTGACGACGGTGACGACGGTGACAGTGACGACGGTGACGACGGTGACGACGGTGACGACGGTGACGACGGTGACGGTGACGACGGTGACAGTGACGACGGTGACGACGGTGACGGTGGTGACGGTGACGACGGTGACGGTGGTGACGGTGGTGACGGTGACGACGGTGACGGTGACGACGGTCACGGTGACGGTGACGACGGTGACAGTGACGACGGTGACGACGGTGACAGTGACGACGGTGACGACGGTGACGGTGACGACGGTGACGACGGTGACGATGGTGACGACGGTGACGATGGTGACGGTGACGACGGTGACAGTGACGACGGTGACGACGGTGACGGTGACGGTGGTGACGGTGACGACGGTGACGACGGTGACGACGGTGACGGTGACGACGGTGACGACGGTGACGACGGTGACGGTGACGACGGTGACGGTGACGACGGTGACGGTGACAACGGTGACGGTGACGACGGTCACGGTGACGACGGTGACGACGGTGACGACAGTGACGGTGACGACGGTCACGGTGACGATGGTGACGGTGACGATGGTGACGACGGTGACGGTGACGTCGGTGACGACGGTGACGACAGTGACGGTGATGACGGTGACGACGGTGACGACGGTGACGACGGTGACGGCGGTGACGGTGACGACGGTGACGACGGTGACGGTGACGACGGTGACGACGGTGACGACGGTGACGACGGTGACGGTGACGACAGTGACGGTGATGACGGTGACGACGGTGACGACGGTGACGGTGACGACGGTGACGGTGACGACGGTGACGACGGTGACGACGGTGACGGCGGTGACGGTGACGACGGTGACGACGGTGACGACGGTGACGACGGTGACGGTGACGACAGTGACGGTGACGACGGTGACGACGGTGACGGTGACGACGGTGACGACGGTGACGGTGACGACGGTGACGACGGTGACGACAGTGACGGTGACGATGGTGACGACGGTGACGGTGACGATGGTGACGACGGTGACGACGGTGACGACGGTGACGATGGTGACGATGGTGACGACGGTGACGACGGTGACGACGGTGACGGTGACGACGGTCACGGTGACGACGGTGACGGTGACGATGGTGATGGTGACGACGGTGACGACGGTGACGATGACGACGGTGACGACGGTGACGGTGACGGTGACGACGGTGACGACGGTGACGATGGTGACGACGGTGACGATGGTGACGATGACGACGGTGACGACGGTGACGACGGTGACGACAGTGACGACAGTGACGACGGTCACGGTGACGACGGTGACGGTGACGACGGTGACGACGGTGACGACGGTGACGACGGTGACGGTGACGACGGTGACGGTGACGACGGTGACGGTGACGATGGTGACGGTGACGACGGTGACGATGGTGATGGTGACGGCGGTGACGACGGTGACGATGACGACGGTGACGACGGTGACGGTGACGATGGTGACGGTGACGACGGTGACGACGGTGACGACGGTGACGATGGTGACGACGGTGACGATGGTGACGATGACGACGGTGACGACGGTGACGACGGTGACGACAGTGACGACGGTCACGGTGACGACGGTGACGGTGACGACGGTGACGACGGTGACGACGGTGACGGTGACGATGGTGACGGTGACGACGGTGACGGTGACGGTGACGACGGTGATGACGATGACGGCGGCCGTCTCGGTGGAGATGAACTCCTGTGCTCAGGGTCACTCGGTCGCTCTCACGCAGTGGACCTCGTGGTGTTCAAAGGCTCTCAGCATATCGTTTAAAATGTAATCCCTTATTCTTTATTCAATACGGACGCAAAGGATCGCGATTTATAAACTTCTTCCATTGGCGGATCATCGCGTCGTGCCAGGAGACGGACTCGGACGGCGGGGGCACGGGGTTGGAGTCCGTGTGCGGCACGTGCTGTGCCCAGAGCGGGGTTCCGTGTCGCTCACGTAATCCACTTGTAAATTAAATCCTACAGAGCTGCCCTAGGTGAATTTAGTTAATAACGATCGTTTGCCCAGTATTTCGTCACAAGGCTGAGATTGCCCCCATTTGCTACGCTTGGGAACCAAACGTAATTATTATTGGTACGTGGCTAGCTGGATTCAAACCTAGCACTCATCATTGCTGGCCGAGAGTGCCAACATCAAGTATCGAGATCTCCTAATGAACCAGCTACATTCATACCTGGACAAAACGAACACGACACACGCACAGTAGACCAGACATAACAGATAAACAATATACTTGACCATTTTTTTAAATATATATAAACGATTGAAAGTGTTTACTTGGCAACACTAACAAGACGATCTGGTATTCTTTGACTAAACAATTGGGAGCGTGACACTTAGAGCCACCGTGACGCTAAGGCTGTGCGGGGAGAGGCGGCTGGATTTGGCGGTGTGCGGCTCTCCGCTCGGTGAGCCCAGTGTCCATGTGCAGCAGGCAGGCACCGCGTCCGGCGCCCCGGGCGGGATTTTATCGCCGTTCGATGAAGGTTTTTGTCGCCTGGCACTTTGCTTCGCATAGCCGCTGCCACTTCCACTGGGGGGGGAGGGGGGGGAACCGCGCGTCAGCTCCCAACTCCGAATGATTTATGATCAAATAATTAAACGGTGCCGAGGGCGTTCGCGAGAGGGGTCTCGCTCGGTTAGCAACGCCCCGCGCGGCGACTTGCGCTCGTGGGGCGGAGGCGGAGGGGGGAGCGCGGTGGCGCGGTGGGGCGATGGCGAAGCTGGTCATCGGGCATCACCGCCGCTCTCTGAGATAGAACAGGGTGAGGTCAGATAATTGTTTTTTTACCCTTTTATCTGGCAACAAAGCTGACACCTTTTTTTACAAGGAGTCATGTTTACATTGACCACAATACTTGCGGTCGGAACGCAAACAAAAAACAACAACTCTGATAATGTATACACTGTGCTTGAAATTGATTGGTCCACACCCGAGACAGCTTTCTTTAGAGCCTCGTCTCACGTGGTGTTGGACCAGAAGACGCCAAAAGGCGCACAACTCAAAGGCAATGCACCATCAGAGTATGAGAGCTCGGGGTAAGCATTTACACCATTGGAAACCTCATTTGCCAGTAACAAAATATGATATCAGAGTTGTTGTATTTTGTTTGCGTTCCGACCGCAGGTATTGTGGTCAATGTAAACATGACTCCTTGTAAAAAAAGGTGTCAGTTTTGTTGCCAGATAAAAGGGTAAAAAACCAATTATCATATTTTGTTACTGGCAAATGAGGTTTCCAAGCGTGAGGTCAATTGAAAGGTCAGGTGAAAGGGCAGCTTCATATGACGGTGGGGGTCGTAAGGTCAGATGCCCTGCCGGATTCAAGCGAGCTCATTGGGCTGAGGCAAGAGGGGAGGAAACCGCATGGGAGCCTCGGGCTCCAAGCCCCAGTCTGTTCTGGGTTCACGATTACAAATATTATCCGACATTGGTTTCAACTGTTCAATAAAATAATGAGTAACTTTCAAAAGTATCTCGAAGCAGCCCACTCGAGTTGCGGTGTTTAAAGTGGGCCCGCGCACAACGTTCAGGAACTTCTTTCTGTGTTTAATTTGCGGTCCATCCCCCGCACCTTCGTTTAGCAGCACAATTCGCTACGTGTATGGTGCGAAGGAAGTTCAACATACATACATACATACTTACGTACAAGTGTCCCTACAAGCGGGAGGCAATGTCGCGCCATATCGTTCCGCTTAATCGCGTCGAGGGTGCCAGCGAGGGATCTAACGGGGGGGGGGTGCCAATGCGGGTGCCAACGGAGGCACCAAAGTGGATGCCAACGTGGACGCGGCTAAAGATCTGACCCAGCAGCTCCCACTGCGTGCGCTCTCCACCCCCCACACCCTCCAGTAGACAATGAACTCTGCAGGCGTTTGCCACGCCCTCCCCCTGCGTCTCTTCCTTCTGTAGCCATTCAGCTTCCGTGACCCCCGCACCAATGGTCCTTTGACCCCCCCCCGCCCCCCCAATTGGGAACCCCAGACTCGTAGAGTACTGCCTCTTGGTACGGTTTCCCCTCGTTATTCACGAGGGATACGTTCCGGAGATATGCTCGTGAATAGCAAATTCTGCAGATAATGATATTGCCCTACGAAAATATGTTTTATTAATTACCTTAAGAAAGTACATCAATCAGCTTTGTCTCATCACTTTATCTCTAATCACTTTATCTCATCGCTCTATCTCATCACTTTATCTCTAATCACTTGATCTGTCATCACTTTCTCGCATCACATTCTCTCTCATCACTTTATTTCTCTCTCTCGATGCAGTCGTGTCGAGTTCGAGATGCGATTCGTGGGCAGCCAAAATCGCACGTTCGTGAATAACGAGGAAACACCGTGCACGCGAACTTACCCTGTGGCTAGAGCACTCACTCCACACTCAGAACATCTCCAGTTCAAATCCCAGCCGGGGGTCGGCTGCCCTAATCCCTTCGGGGGGCAATAAACTGAGTGCCACTCTCCAAGGAATCCGCGGACTTGAACTGGCCACCGCCATGGTATTGGGTCATTTCTGCCACTGGTCCAAGGGTCGCCAGTGTCCACTGGAGCATAGCGACACTGTGAAAATGTCCGACGTGCCATCGTCATGTTGTATGTACGCCGAACTTCTTCCGTGCCGTACGTAGGCCAACCGCGCTATTCGGAGGTGTGGATCCCCTCAGCTGCCACTGAGGGGATGCCCAATCAAATGCGTTGATGATGCGATGCACATTGCTTGTCGTGTCCCGCGCCTCCGATTAGCTCGGTTGCCTATGGACAGCGCAAAAGAAGTTTAGCATGCACACGCACATCAAGCGCTCTTGACATGAAGGGAGGCCGCTCTTGTCTAAAACGTATGATTATCGAGGTCTCGCCGTCTCTCGGCCAGCCGTGCTGCTCTCGTGCTGACGCGGCGGCGTGTGCCTGCTGCCGCCGTGTCGTGCTGTCCCCCAGGCCGTGTTCTCCTCGGTGTTCTACTTCGCGTCGGTCGCTCTCTACCAGGGCTTCCTCATGGTCGGGTGAGTACCCCCCCCCCCCCCCCCCCACCACACAGCCCCACGGCCCACGCCCCGGTCAAGTCACCGGACCAACCTCGGTCGGCGACGAGCGATGGCTCCGTTTTCTCGGTGTTGTTCTCTACGCTTAGTAAAGCGTTCGTCTTGGAATCTAGAACGTGGTGTCAGAAGTGGGGCAGACCCAAAATAATGCTACTTGTTTGAAGATTTTAAAAGAGTGGGATGCAAAATTGTGAATTTACGTGAGGGATTGTCTAAAGGCTTGGCGGTTAGGAGCACAGAATCTTTCGGCATCATGGCGGCTGCCAATGGTATCCCAGCTGCTGAAGGTGTGAAGATGAGTGGCGATTGGAGCAGCAATTGAGAATCCTTCAGGGCTGATTCAGAAAACTGCTCCATAGCAACAGGCCTCAATGAGAAGCCTGCAGACGTCTAAGCAGCCACACAGAGGAAAGTGATGGGGCAGTGAGTGTCTGATCTCGGACACGAGTCTGCTGTGTCGTTACTCATTGAATCTAGAACAATTTTATTGTTATTTTACTCTCAGCTGATTGGGCGGAGGGGGGGCGGGGCGGGGGGGAGGGGCGCGTTTGGCTGGAGTTGATGGCGGCTTCGTTTAATTAACTTTGTGAGGCCGAGCCAATTTGCTCTCCCCGCGGAGGCGAGTGGTTGTTGCGTGGTCGGGGCTCCGCTGCACTCAAGATCCCCGAGAGGAGTGAGACTACTGCGGCTGACGTGACCTCGCTAGACTGGTGATGCCTGAACAGGAGTGAAGCCAGTTAAGCATTTGCTGTGGTTCCTTTACTGCCCCACAAAAAATGCCCTGCAAACTACTCAATCGCGATTACTCATGGCAGCATAGCCTCCCCCCACTGCGAATAGCTTGGTAGGACCCTCCTGAAAAAGAGTCTCGAGATTCACTGAGGTTTTTCTGACGAAACTAAGCACAACGATAACAACAACGATAACAATAACGATAACAATAACGATAACAATAACGACAACAATAATGATAACAATAATGATAACAACAATAATGATAACAACAACGTGAGCGGAACCCGCGTGGCCCGGCTCGGCGGTGACGGTGGTGGCCGTGTGTTGCCGCGTGTCGCCGCAGCTACGCCACGGTCTACACCATGTTCCCCGTCTTCTCACTCGTGCTGGACCAGGACGTGAAGCCCGAGACGGCGCTGCTCTACCCGGAGCTCTACAAGGACCTCACTAAGGTGTGCCGGTGCGGGCTGCCTATTGTGGGCGCCACGGTGGTGAGATGTTAGCTGGTATACAGGAGGAAGTGGGTCGGCATCGGGATCGAACCTGTATAGCAAGCGAGGTAGATAACATCTCGCCAAAATTAAGAGGAAATGTTGCTGGCCACGTGGAATTCCGAGCGGTCATTGGGGAGGAGAGGCTGCCATTCGCGGTGGTGAGATACGAACTCCCTCGCCTGTTCTACACGAGGTCGTGGGTTCGATCCCGACCCTTTGACGCCTGCTGTGTATTTGGAGTGTGCATGTCTCTCATCATCATCACAGTAGCTAGGAGATGTTAACTACCTCGCCTGGTCTACAGGAGGATCGTGGGTTCGATTCCGACCCCCGACACCTGCTGTGTATTTGGAGTGTGCGTGTCTCTCATCATCATCACGGTAGCTAGGAGATGTTAACTACCTCGCCTGGTCTACAGGAGGTCGTGGGTTCGATCCCGACCCCGACGCCTGCTGTGTATTTGGAGTGTGCGTGTCTCTCATCATCATCATGGTAGCTAGGAGATGTTAACTACCTCGCCTGGTCTACAGGAGGTCGTGGGTTCGATCCCGACCCTGACGCCTGCTGTGTATTTGGAGTGTGCTTGTCTCTCATCATCATCATGGTAGCTAGGAGATGTTAACTACCTCGCCTGGTCTACAGGAGGTCATGGGTTCGATCCCGACCCCGACGCCTGCTGTGTATTTGGAGTGTGCGTGTCTCTCATCATCATCACAGTAGCTAGGAGATGTTAACTACCTCGCCTGGTCTACAGGAGGTCGTGGGTTCGATTCCGACCCCCGACACCTGCTGTGTATTTGGAGTGTGCGTGTCTCTCATCATCATCACGGTAGCTAGGAGATGTTAACTACCTCGCCTGGTCTACAGGAGGTCGTGGGTTCGATCCCGACCCCGACGCCTGCTGTGTATTTGGAGTGTGCGTGTCTCTCATCATCATCATGGTAGCTAGGAGATGTTAACTACCTCGCCTGGTCTACAGGAGGTCGTGGGTTCGATCCCGACCCCGACGCCTGCTGTGTATTTGGAGTGTGCTTGTCTCTCTCCCCCTGGTCGCATGGACTTCTCTCCGGATCCTCCGCTTGTATTCCCCGCCACATTTAGAATCAACTTGCATTTAGAGTATTTGGCTGCTACAAATTTTCCACGTGATAAGCCACTTCATTGAGCTATCATTTGTGGCCAGGTCACTTCTGAAAAAGAGCTACATAGCTCAGTGGGTCTTACCTGGATAAAATAAAAAATAGTTTATAGTTAACCTTCATTCGTTAAAAAACAATACAGTACTCGCCATCGGGGAAGTGTTTTTACCGTGAGTGAATTTCATCAGCCGATGACTGTGAGCGGCTAGAATCGTGGAGCCCGATGGCGATTACGGCTGCTGCCTCCTCGAGGCCGGAGCGCGACTCTCGACCAGTCCTAGTGGACACGCACCGAGGTCGTGTCGTCATGGTTACTCTCGACCAGTCCGAGTGGACGTGCACCGAGGTCGTGTCGTCACGGTTACTCTGGACCAGTCCGAGTGGACGTGCACCGAGGTCCTGTCGTCATGGTTACTCTCGACCAGTTAGAGTGGACGTGCACCGTGGTCATGTCGTCATGGTTACTCTCGACCAGTCCGAGTGGACGTGCACCGAGGTCGTGTCGTCACGGTTACTCTGGACCAGTCCGAGTGGACGTGCACCGAGGTCCTGTCGTCATGGTTACTCTCGACCAGTTAGAGTGGACGTGCACCGTGGTCATGTTGTCATGGTTACTCTCGACCAGTCCGAGTGGACGTGCACCGAGGTCGTGTCGTCACGGTTACTCTGGACCAGTCCGAGTGGACGTGCACCGAGGTCCTGTCGTCATGGTTACTCTCGACCAGTTAGAGTGGACGTGCACCGTGGTCATGTCGTCATGGTTACTCTCGACCAGTCCGAGTGGACGTGCACCGAGGTCGTGTCGTCACGGTTACTCTGGACCAGTCCGAGTGGACGTGCACCGAGGTCCTGTCGTCATGGTTACTCTCGACCAGTTAGAGTGGACGTGCACCGTGGTCATGTCGTCATGGTTACTCTCGACCAGTCCGAGTGGACGTGCACCGAGGTCGTATCGTCACGGTTACTCTGGACCAGTCCGAGTGGACGTGCACCGAGGTCCTGTCGTCATGGTTACTCTCGACCAGTTAGAGTGGACGTGCACCGTGGTCATGTCGTCATGGTTACTCTCGACCAGTCCGAGTGGACGTGCACCGAGGTCGTGTCGTCACGGTTACTCTGGACCAGTCCGAGTGGACGTGCACCGAGGTCCTGTCGTCATGGTTACTCTCGACCAGTTAGAGTGGACGTGCACCGTGGTCATGTCGTCATGGTTACTCTCGACCAGTCCGAGTGGACGTGCACCGAGGTCGTGTCGTCACGGTTACTCTGGACCAGTCCGAGTGGACGTGCACCGAGGTCCTGTCGTCATGGTTACTCTCGACCAGTTAGAGTGGACGTGCACCGTGGTCATGTCGTCATGGTTACTCTCGACCAGTCCGAGTGGACGTGCACCGAGGTCGTGTCGTCACGGTTACTCTGGACCAGTCCGAGTGGACGTGCACCGAGGTCCTGTCGTCATGGTTACTCTCGACCAGTTAGAGTGGACGTGCACCGTGGTCATGTCGTCATGGTTACTCTCGACCAGTCCGAGTGGACACTCACCGAGGTCGTGTCGTCACGGTTACTCTCGACCAGTCCGAGTGGACGCTCACCGAGGTCGTGTCGTCACGGTTACTCTCGACCAGTTAGAGTGGACGTGCACCGTGGTCATGTCGTCATGGTTACTCTCGACCAGTCCGAGTGGACGCTCACCGTGGTCCTGCCGTCACGGTTACTCTCGACCAGTTCGAGTGGACGTGCACCGTGGTCATGTCGTCATGGTTACTCTCGACCAGTCCGAGTGGACGCTCACCGTGGTCCTGTCGTCACGGTTACTCTCGACCAGTCCGAGTGGACGTGCACCGTGGTCGTGTCGTCACGGTTACTCTGGACCAGTCCGAGTGGACGTGCACCGTGGTTGTGTCGTCATGGTTACTCTCGACCAGTCCGAGTGGACGTGCACCGTGGTCGTGTCGTCACGGTTACTCTCGACCAGTCCGAGTGGACACTCAGCGTGGTCGTGTCGTCATGGTTACTCTCGACCAGTCCGAGTGGACGCTCACCGTGGTCGTGTCGTCACGGTTACTCTGGACCAGTCCGAGTGGACGTGCACCGTGGTCGTGTCGTCATGGTTACTCTCGACCAGTCCGAGTGGACACGCACCGTGGTCCTGTCGTCATGGTTACTCTCGACCAGTCCGAGTGGACACGCACCGTGGTTGTGTCGTCACGGTTACTCTCGACCAGTCCGAGTGGACGCTCACCGTGGTCGTGTCGTCATGGTTACTCTCGACCAGTCCTAGTGGACACGCACCGAGGTCGTGTCGTCATGGTTACTCTTGACCAGTCCGAGTGGACGTGCACCGTGGTCCTGTCGTCATGGTTACTCTCGACCAGTCCTAGTGGACACGCACCGTGGTCGTGTCGTCATGGTTACTCTCGACCAGTCCAAGTGGACATGCACCGTGGTCGTGTCGTCATGGTTACTCTCGACCAGTCCGAGTGGACACGCACCGAGGTCGTGTCGTCATGGTTACTCTCGACCAGTCCGAGTGGACGCTCACCGTGGTCGTGTCGTCATGGTTACTCTTGACCAGTCCGAGTGGACACGCACCGAGGTCGTGTCGTCATGGTTACTCTCGACCAGTCCGAGTGGACGCTCACCGAGGTCGTGTCGTCATGGTTACTCTCGACCAGTCCGAGTGGACGTGCACCGTGGTTGTGTCGTCATGGTTACTCTGGACCAGTCCGAGTGGACGTGCACCGTGGTTGTGTCGTCATGGTTACTCTGGACCAGTCCGAGTGGACGTGCACCGTGGTTGTGTCGTCATGGTTACTCTGGACCAATCCGAGTGGACGTGCACTGTGGTCGTGTCGTCATGGTTACTCGAGACTGCAGTGCACCGAGGAGGACGGCCTAACGTGGCAATTAGGCGCACATAAATGAATGTATACATATATGTATACAAATGTAGATATTTACTGAGTTGACTGATTGGCTGAGCTGATGATATTGGAGGGTGGGGTGGTAATGCGCCTCCATTCAGCGTTGTTGGCTACGTACGTCGCGAAAGAAGTTGTAATTGTGCGTCGCTGACACCGACAATAACCAGAAGTGGCCATTCGAAATGGGGGTGTTGGCCATTGTGTGCCAGCGTCATGCTCCAAATGACCCCCGAAATACTCAATTTGGAATGCACACAGCAGCAGTGGGCCCTACTGGCAGACTATATTCGTCTGTGAAACATAACGCATTTGTGATAGCCCTGTGCTTGTGATAGCCCTGTGCTTGTGATAGCCCTGTGCTTGTGATAGCCCTGTACTTGTGATAGCCCTGTACTTGTGATAGCCCTGTACTTGTGATCACCTTGTACTTGTGATAGCCCTGTACTTGTGATCTTCCTGTACTTGTGATAGCCCTGTACTTGTGATCACCCTGTACTTGTGATAGCCCTGTACTTGTGATAGCCCTGTACTTGTGATAGCCCTGTACTTGTGATAGCCCTGTACTTGTGATCACCTTGTACTTGTGATAGCCCTGTACTTGTGATCTTCCTGTACTTGTGATAGCCCTGCACTTGTGATAGTCCTGTACTTGTGATCACCCTGTACTTGTGATAGCCCTGTACTTGTGATAGTCCTGTACTTGTGATAGTCCTGTACTTGTGATCACCCTGTACTTGTGATCACCCTGTACTTGTGATAGCCCTGTACTTGTGATCACCTTGTACTTGTGATAGTCCTGTACTTGTGATCACCCTGTACTTGTGATCACCCTGTACTTGTGATCACCCTGTACTTGTGATATCCCTGTACTTGTGATAGTCCTGTACTTGTGATCACCCTGTACTTGTGATAGTCCTGTACTTGTGATCACCCTGTACTTGTGATCACCCTGTACTTGTGATCACCTTGTACTTGTGATAGCCCTGTACTTGTGATAGCCCTGTGCTTGTGATCACCTTGTACTTGTGATAGTCCTGTACTTGTGATCTTCCTGTACTTGTGATCACCCTGTACTTGTGATCACCCTGTACTTGTGATCACCCTGTACTTGTGATAGTCCTGTACTTGTGATAGTCCTGTACTTGTGATCACCTTGTACTTGTGATCACCCTGTACTTGTGATCACCCTGTACTTGTGATCACCCTGTACTTGTGATCACCTTGTACTTGTGATCACCTTGTACTTGTGATCACCTTGTACTTGTGATAGCCCTGTACTTGTGATCACCCTGTACTTGTGATAGCCCTGTACTTGTGATCACCTTGTACTTGTGATAGCCCTGTACTTGTGATAGCCCTGTACTTGTGATAATCCTGTACTTGTGATAGTCCTGTACTTGTGATCACACATTCAGCAGTAGCTTCGCCCAGAAAGTGGATGTTTACCCCCACACAGAAATGCAGTAGTATTAGCACGAGCACTAGGCCGACTCAGCCTTAAATGAGTACCTGGTGCGGTGGCTAAACATCAACACTGGGGAGACAAAGGCGGCTGGGCGTGGTGCTGGCCACCCACCCCCTCGTGTGCCGTGTTGGCCTTCATAGGTGCTCGCTAACAGCACTTGCCCCTACAGTCTGTTAATAGGCGATACAGGGGATCTTTGTCTTTGTTTCTAGTATGTGTGTGTGTGATTGTGTATGTGAACCAGTTGGTGTGTGTGTGTGTACATGTGTGTGGCGAGTAGCTGAATGTTCAGTGCGGCGTCTGTCGCGTTTAATATGGGCAGCAGCTTCAGCTTACCGTGATGTAGAATGCTTACTTAAATGAATGATTAAATGCGCCGGGCGCAAAGCACACAATGAATTATAGATCGGTATCTCACGAGCTCCGTTACAGGGGTATTGGGTTTTGACTGCACTCAATCGTGCGGTGCCGAGTGGCTGGCTGATTACGTTGTACGATCAGCGTCGCGTATGTAAATCCAGCCGTGCATCAAAGCGCCGCGATCATCTTGTTGCCGTCGCTCGGTGCCACAGCTGCACGGAGAATTTCGCCGATTGGATTGGAGTGATTTTTCTGTTTTGAATGCCGCTCCGCTCCCGATGAGACGCCTATTTTGACTCTTTGTGTTTTGCAGGGTCGCGCCCTCTCGTTCAAAACCTTCTTCATCTGGGTGCTCATCAGCATTTACCAGGGTAAGCCAGGGCGAACGTTTTCCCCGACAGCTTCGGGCGGCAGGGTTGCGGTGGCGGTGGTTACACTGGTGCCTCGCCGCAGAAAGCCGCGAAGGCGCCTTCCTGCGTGGAGTTTGACCGTTCTGCGTATGCTCTGCTGCAGAGTGTAAGTGTATGAGAGTGAGTGAGTTCGAGTGAATGGAATATGTGTGTGTTCTCCCTCCCGTTCTGCGTGGGTTTCCTTTTGGTTTCTCTGATTTCCTCCCATTACGAAAACAAAACCCAATGTAACCGATATCGGCCGAACGTCCCAGTGATGTAAAATTACCCAACAAATCACTCAATTGGCATCACACAGCAGCAAGCCGTGGAAACCGCCCCCTTACTCCGAAAACTTGGCGGGACCCTCCTTAAAATCAGGTCGTCACAGTCTTGGGACTCTCTTCTGCGGTAAACAAGCGTAAGAATATAAAATAACGAGTCTCTTCGAAACAAAACTATAAACTACCCCAAACGGGGGCGAGGGGGGTCGCTCGCGCCAGGTAACTCCGCGTGCCGAATTGGGTCCGCTCGCTCGGGATCAGCGGCTTCGATTCACCGGCAACGGACGCCACCTGATAACCCGCGCAGGAAATCGCCGTCTTCAATCATCGTCCATCAACCCCCCTCGTCGTCGTTCAGAGCGGATGTCAAAACTCGCGCCGCGCCGCTCTGTCCGTGCGTGGGGCATTGTTGTGGAGGTTTCTGTAAGCAACAGCTTACCCCTGTGACGACGACGCGGTGTCACGCACGGGTCGTGGGCTTCGAAGGTTCGGTTTTAATTGACGAATCTCTGTTTGAATTGCGCTTAACCCCCACGGGGAGTTTCCCCAGCACTTGGTTGGCTCGCTCCGAGTGGAGTTCCAGGGCTGCGGTACTGCAGAGAGTGCCGCCGCTGCCGCCGCCGCCACCGCCGCCGCCGTGCACACGCCCTGCATGACAGCTGCATGTGGAGCCCTGATTTTACCCAACTCCCAAATCAATCACTCCCACTCCACTCCGCCACTCGGCCGATCCACCCGCACTCCGCTACTCCTCGCCACTCGGCCATCCTCCTTTGGCCCCTTGCGTGGCGCCGTGGCGCCCTTCCTTGGTCGGCCTCCGCGGCCGCAGGAGCCGGGGAGGCGTCGCCCCGGCGAGGCGACCGTGCCGCGGCGCCAGCGCCGCTCCAGCGCCGGCACGCGTGTGTGTGTCTCAGAGTGAGAATTTGTAGTCATTCTGTGGGAATCCGATGAGCTACGAAGCTCTTTTTCACAGATGTTCAGTAAGGGGCGCGGGGTCAAAAACGTTACAACAACAATTAATACAAAAACACCACAGGAGTGCAAGATAGGTAAACAAACCACCCAGACACAAACATAATAAAACTAAACCATCCCCATCCTACCAGGCAAAGCCCACGGGAGGCATTAACTTATTTTTCACAAGCGACTTGCTCATAATAAAGGTTTTTGGGTTAGATCGCGTTTATTTATAAATGTGTCGTAACCCTCCACCACCCGACACGGCCAATCAGCAAAAAAAGTGTCACGTTGACAAAAGACAAATAATTCACTACGTGTTAAACAAGCGACTTGCTCTCAGAAATCATAGCTCCGGGGTCACTCTGCAACGCGCCGAGCCATGGCTTAGAATCTAAATAATCTTGACGTAATTCCCGGGCGTAAACGTGCGTGGGGAAGCATTCAAGCCTCGTTGTTTAGCCCCCGGCGTGCGTACTCCTCGGGTGGACGAATTGCGCTGCTGGCGAGATTCTTGGCCCCTCGTGGCGGCGACGCTAAGACCCCCCCCCCCTCCCCGATCACTCTCCGTGTTTGGAGACATGACCGGCGTTCAGCGGGGTTAACCCGAGCGCTCGGAGCTCTGCTCGAAGCGATGGGAGTTGATAAAAGCAGAATACAAGACCATCGTGGAGCAGTGGCTACTGGGGGAGGGAGGGAGGGAGCAGTCTTTGTGCTCAGGCTCTTATCTGCAAGAGGCAGAATTTCACGTGTGTGTGTACATATATCTCTCCTTTTTGTCCTTCGCAGCCTTATAACATCTCCATATTTGTATCTATCCTAGCTCACGTCTCCATCCTCCCCCTCCCCCTACCCTGTATCATTTTCTTGCTGTATCTCTTCTGCGCTCCTTGGCCCTCAATCACAAAATCAATAACTGGGAGGACGTGGGGCGGAAGGGACGGGCAGGGGGTCCAGAGCAGTTGTGCTCCATCTGCTGATAAGACGATTAATCTTTCCCGACCCTCTGCGCCTGCCAAGATTAACCCAGCTGCTGCTGCTGCTTGCTTGCTGCTGCTGCTGCTGCGGGAGGGAAACTTCGGAGCCAGACGCACGGCGTCAAGTCAAAGCCGTAGCACGATGCGTTGGGCAGCGTCGGACCCCGGGTTGGTTTTCTGCATTTCTGGCAAATCCTCAACGCTCACGCTTTGGAGTTTCACATCGCCGGCTGCGGTTCGCGCCACGATCGCTGAACGTGATCATTCAGCACGTGGTCACGGTTGCTGACGTGACAATTCCCTCTTCGAGTCATCGTCGCCCGCGCGCGATTATCGGCCGGGGACGGAGCGACGACAACCACGGGCACCCTGCGCGGTTAACTCGGCTCCGATTGGTCGTCGTTCTTGTTTGTTGCGTGGCTCTGCCGCGGGTCGGAGCGCTCGTGGCCAAACGGGGGGAGCGTCCGTGGCGGTGGAAGGCCGCTCCGCTGGACTATAGAGGGTTAAGCAGGACAGGTGCTCGTGGGATTTTATAACTGTGTGTGTGCGCGTGGACAGTAAAGGATGGCTCGCACGGACGGAGCCCGGCGGCCACACACAATGAGCCCGGCGGCACCGCCCGCGTCTTCTCGCTAAACGCGACCTCTCCCCCCCCCCTCGCCAACGTTTCCCGCGCTCGGCTCGTGAATCCTCTTTTTTGTGCTCGTGTCAAAAAAAATATAAAAAAAATCCGACACAAAAGGGCTTAATACTTTTGCTCAATTGAATTTTGAAAATATATATTCCTTAACCTCCCTTTTCAGCGCCGCATCGCGACACTGCGGAATACGAGAGCGAGGCCGTACGTGCTTGTGTGCGTGCGTGTCCATCAGGGAACACTTAATTACTGCGATGCACTCGATCGCTTTTCCAGCCTCTCTCATTTCACACCCGACGAACGCGACAGAGTTTGAGCTGAAGCTGCATCATTGATGCTAAAGGCCGTAACTAAAGCCGGGCACACAAACAACACACCTTTGTACGCTTTGTGGCCTTACGTAATCAAACTTTACGTAGATTTGGGCAAATCTCCCAATGCAAGACGCACCTCAAAAATTGTCTTGAGGATCGCCCGTGTCTTTCCTCGAAAAAACACCATTATTGTTATTTTTATTTCGAGCCTGATAGGGAAAGCGCTGGATGCGTGTATACACAGCAATGAGATTCAAGGGTTCATGATTGTGCGCGTGTTATGGCATTAAGCCCAGTAACCCCTGGAATCCTCGGTTCAAAATCTCAGGGCAGGGTAAAATAAAATTCGCGTCGGATGATTTGGTAAGCACTTAATTTGGCCAGGCCCAGCCGCGCGGCCTTACTCATCAAACCAGCCGCAGGCAGAGTTGACCCGCTTGCGTGTCTGCACGGCTGAGGAGGGCGCAGTCTCTGCTAGACGTCTTCCTCCCGTGGACCATTTGACAGGACCCACGTAGGCCCCTGCCTTGCCACGTCGGGTCGGGGAACGAAAGAGGCTCTGTCCTGCCCCTTGACCCCCACGGCACGCTGGGTGGGGGTTAGGATTCCCGGGCTCGGAGCGCGTGCCGAGACCACCGTGCGTTGACCGCTCGCTCGGTGCAGGGACGCAGTGTGGCATGGCACGCGGTTAACGCGCCGTGGAAACGAGGCAGTGGAGGGGACGATGGGGGTGGTTTCCCCCTGCCTTGAGACCGCACAAAATGTGTACGTTGTTGATATTCACCAGAGAAAGTAAGCTGAATGTATGTCTTGTTGTTGCTTCAGGGTCTCGTTAAAAAAAATCTTCAAATTCCAGTACCACCCCTTACCGTGGGAAGTTCCTAGATCTGCCTCCGTGTTGCTAGGAGTGGAGGACGTGCGTGGACAGCCAGCCGCGATTGTTCATTCCCTACCCACACAGAGTGAACGCACTGCCGTTCACGTGCGGCTGACGGTTGTTTGTTGTTGGTGGTGCGCGTGCGTGCGTGCGTGCGTTTAACGGTGAACGACGCGAGCGAGTGGTCGCCGCGTGCCTCACTCCGTGATGTCGTTCCGGCTCCGGCGCCAGGTGGCATCATCATGTACGGGGCGCTGCTGCTGTTCGAGGCCGAGTTTGTGCACGTCGTGGCCATCACCTTCACGTCGCTCATCCTCACCGAGCTGCTCATGGTGGCGCTGACCGTGCGCACCTGGCACTGGCTCATGGTGCTCGCCGAGTTCCTCAGCCTCGGCCTCTACGTCGCCTCGCTGCTCTTCCTCAACGAGTACTTCGGTGAGCGAGCGAGCGAGCGTGCGACGCGCCGGCCTAACCCACGGTAATCGTAGCCACCACCTCGGAGCGCCCAGCGAGACGCGCTACGCCTCGTCCTTCACGTCCCCTACAGCTGACTCCTGAAACTCATTACTCACCTGTGTGGCCACCTGTTTACTGTTAACAGATGTTTTACTGTAATATCGGCAGCTTACCGCCCATTTGCATTGTCGCCAGTGATTAGCTTCGCAATAGCTCCGGTCCTTTCGTCAGCAACCTTCAATCAGAGGAAAGGCACGGACCGCCGCAAGGCTCGGAGTAAGAAAGGGGCCCGGGCAGCCTACCTACCCGAGGCACGTGGAAAGCAGAAATCTCTCCCCTAGCTAGCTGGTGAAGGACCCTCGTACATCGGTGGGGGACGGGGAGGGCAGCAGGCGCGTTAGAGGAGGGGCTGATGCCACAAAGTCTCGTTTACGTGTCGCGCACGGGGACAGACACGGCCGTGTTGGGGTGAGCCCATGGGTGGGCCCGGGCCGGAAAGGAAAGCTTTTGAGGTACTACACTTTGAAAGTGGATGTGGGCATGTGACGTGAGTGGATGAATGGTGGAGTGGGTGTGGTTTAAGTGATCCTTGCTCGCTGAGCTTAACTTCGCGGTCCTGTGGCGACAGCTGCTGGCAGTCTTTGGAACTGCATGGGCCGCCCATGGCTCGGCCGCATCCGTCCCATCCTTGTCACAGTCTTCTTGCACTTCCAGCCGGCATCGCACCGAGGAGGCAGATTGATCGGCCGGTTATCGTGCCTTGTTTAATCAGGTTGGAGCCCGGCGGAGAGTTTGCCATCGTTTTCAAGGGCGAGCTGTGGTTGCGAAGCGAGATCGCGCAAATTTATTGAGCGTTTGCATCGGCGGCACGAGTTTTCAACGACGCGCACAGAGCGCACGACGCCTGGGCACTGTGCAAAAGCCACCAGCGGCCCCTGAACAAGTGCATTGTGGCCCTCTCGTCGCACGTCACCATCGACATGAATTTGAGCAAATGTGACCAGCTCACTTGTGGTGCTCATCACTGCCACATCACGACACTGAGCCAGCACAGCTGAGAGGCCTGAGTTGATGAACCCCCTTTGTGCCAACCTGAGATAGAACCCACTTCTAATTGGCAGTGGGCTTTCATGTTCGGAGCCGGGTCGCCATTGGCCGCTCTGGTTACATTTGCATTTAAAATGTTTTTGGTGGCCCCTTCGGCATGATGGGAACTACCCACAATGCCCTTCAGACCTCAAATGAGTTTATTAAGCATATGCACAGTGGCCTGGTTGTATCCCATTGTGGAAGTGTGGAGCTTAATAGCTCGTCGGATTCCTCCAGTATAAATAAACATTCTGATTCTGTTTTCCTTCCAGTCAATCTGCATTGGTACTGCGCATCGCTTCACCCACTGCTGCATTGAAAACGGCTGCGCTGTCAGCTGGTTCAGCCGATGGTTTTAAAAATGTACCGATGACATAAAAGGACGTACCCAAGCATGATGACGTAACGTTAATTAGCTAAGAACGACCTTACGGTTGAGTACACTTACAAACACCCTGACCCTAATACACAACAGAGACGTGAAACGCTCCAGTCTGCATCAGGGAGCTAATCCTGCACTGAGCTGTTTGTGCTGAATTGTCCACCACTTATCCCACACGTACACGGGGCACACGCATACAGCCCTCTTGCCAACCCACTGCTGGATGAGGGCCGGCCAATCCCGCACCTCCGATTAGCACGGTTGGCTACGTGCGGCACGACAGAAGTTCAACGTGCGTACGGCCCACGCCGTGCAGGTCGTGGGGTGCCATTTGACCGTACAGTAAAACCTTGGATTGCGAGTAACTTGGTCTGCGAGCGTTTTGCAAAACGAGCAACATTTTAAAATACATTTTAATTTGATAAACGAGCGAGGGTCTTGCAATACGAGTAGCAGTACGTATAGACGCTTTGTCTGCCGAGCGTCAGTGATCACAACCGATATACGAGTGCTTTGATATACGAGTGCTTTGGATTACAAACACGTTTCCGGAACGAATTATGCTGCGCAATCCGAGGTTTTACTGCACTCCACCACGCTGGTCAGCGCGGCTTGGCAAAGGTTTGTCACGTGCTCGCGAGCGTCGTGTCGCCGTGCGTGCGTGGTGACCCTCATGCGGACAGACGCCGCTCGTTTCAGGGATGAAACCACGTCCTCATCTCATTCGGATGCCGTTGCCTCTTTTGCGAATGGAGCGAGAGAGACATTGTCCCCTAGAGTTACTCGAAGGTTGATTCAATTGTTGCTACACGAGGGCCTCGCCATGCCGTGCGGGTCATGGGGGTTGTTTTGACCATAATTCACCGCGCTGGTGAATGGAGAGTTGCCGATAAATAAATATCTAAATATAAATAAATATCTACATATTTGAAGTAGGGTTGAGGGGGGGGAGGCCAGGATCACTTCATAAATCGCTCGCCACTGATTTGAGCTCCGGCCAGGAATCCAACTCGGGCCGCTGGGGTTTGTGATGCCCCAAACGCTGCGCCACCTCTCCACCCCTCCCGTCCCTCGCCCTGGGTACACTTTTACGTCGGCAAATTTGGGATGCGGCGATATCCACGACGGTTTGCTCTTATTAACGATGACAACCGCGGCGCGTCTTCAAGATCCGCCGCCAGTAGGTGGCGCGGCGTGCCCGCACGGGCGGCATCTCTCTCTCCTTGTCGCCGTTTCCGTGACTGCGGGCGGTGGCGGTGGGCGGCCGTGGGTGGCCGTGGGCGGCTGACCAGCTCTGGACGCGCCGCTCGACCGCCCGGGCGCGAATCCCTGATTTGTACGCGGGGATTTGGGATTTCGAGCAGACATATGTTATGTCAGGTGCAGTGAGTTCTGCAGTCTCGGCAAGGTGACCAGTGCTGGCTAAATAACCACACCAAAACATTCGGCTGAGACGTTGCTCGCACACTGAATGGATTCAAGCCCAGCTCTATGAAGGCTCTATTGGACAGAAGGACACCGAGCACGGCAAAGCTACGAGCGTGCAGGCTCGTGGTGGCCGCGCACGAAGGCCCTTTGAGGGATATGACGAGCAGCCCCTTTGATGTCCCTTGCGTGTGTCTTTCCACAGTGCGTTGTGTGGCTCTGCTGTCTACGGCGGAATCCGGAACGAACGTCGACACGGCTCGCTCCGCCACTGAACGTTGGCGGCACAATTTCGGTCAATCTGGTGAAAGCGCTCAAAGTAAAACGACGGCGCCGCCCGCGTACGCGGCCGGCCAAAGCCCTTCCCGGCGCAACCCCGCCGTGCCTTCGCCGTGTCGCAAATCGACGAGCCCCGACGACACAGAGCCCATCGCGCCGCCCTCCCCGTTCCTCCGTGCGACCCCGCGACCCTGCCCCACCTCGCCTCTGACCTCGCCGCGCCTCTAACCTCGCCGCCGTGTCTCTAACCTCTCCCTGTCTCTTGTGTGGACGCCTGTGTCGCTCCTCCTCCGCCCCTCCCTTCCTCCTCCCCGTGTGTGCCTCTTGTCTCCCCCGCCTGCCCGCGCAGGGATAGGCAGGATCTCCATGGGCACCTTCATAGGTGAGGCTTCCCCCGTGCATGCGGCGCACGCCCCTCGTTCCGGGGGTTTTCCCGCGGTGTTCGTAGCGACGAGACGGCCGGCCAGCCGCGCCGAGCGCCGTGCCGAGCGCCGTGCCGAGCGCCGTGCCGAGCACCGTGCCGAGCGCCGTGCCGAGCGCTGTGGCAACACAGATTGGGGGGGGGGTGGCGGAGAAGGACGGGGGGGTGGGGGGCATACCTTTTTTCCACCTGCGGATCCACGCTGGCTCAGCACGGGTCAGGAGGCACGAGTTTCTCTCCCGCTGCGCGAGCGGCGCCGGTAGACAATGCGGTGGCATCGGTGCCTTTGTGGTGCGACGTCATGGCCCCAGCACGGCCCGCCTCCCCCAAGCCAGATTCACATGTCGTCTTGTGTGCTCGCATAGCACGGCTCAGTAATATGCCAGTGGAAAAGCACCCGTGCCGTGCCGGTCCTTTGCTGGCATGGTTCGAATGTGCACATAGAAAAGGGGCGTTCGAGAGTATGGTGGGGGGAGGGAGGGCAGGCAGGTCTCGCGCTGTGCGCCCTCAATAACCGTCTTGACCGCCTTGGCTAGACGACGTGGGGCCACCCCACGGCTGCTCGCTGCCCAACCCCTGGAGCGCTCCGGCGCGCTGGGCCCTGAGCGCCAGCGCGCCGAATCTACGGTGCCTTTGTTTGCGTGATTCCTCATTAAGCCCCGTGACGGTGAGTCAAACGAACCGCGGTGTGCGCTGACGGTCCGCCTTACACTGCTGGACGTTGGCGACCTCCTCGCAAACGGCGTGCCAGTCTTGAGAGCGCGGAGGGGCGGCCGGTCGCTCTCCGCCCGGCGTCCTTTCGGGGTCGCTCCGCGCCGCCGTTCGGCGTCGCCCTCGCCGTTGCGGCCCGCGCTCCCCGGGAGTTTCTTCCGAGCTCTCGAACGTCGATCGGAACGTCGGACGTCACGCCGGACGGCAACGCGGTGCGACGCGGCATGGCCGCGTCAATCCCACGCGGCGAGTTTGACGCCGCGGTTTGTGACAGCAGGGGGCAGCAGCAGCACGTCGCCGCTGCTGCCGCTGCTGCCGCTGCTGCTGCGTTGGGTATCGTGCAGGTTATTTTTTGTGAATTCGGAAGTTTGGCCAATACCAGGGACATTGTTTGTTGGGTCCTTTTTAGCCATGGAAGCAAACTGTAAAGAACCCAGAGGAAACCCATGCAGGATAAGGGGATAGAGAGTGTACACACTCCGCACAGAGAGCAACGCACGAGTGTTGCTTTCCAAATTGCTCATGTCCACAAATCAGGGGAAATCGATCAAATGCAGAGATGACATCATTATAAATCCCACACTCCGAGGTCACGAATCTCACAAAATGTTTTAGTTGTGAAATATTCCAAAATGCAAATAACCATTTACTGTCAATGAAGGCAGAAATATGTAAATATGTGTTTGGTATTAAATGATGCCATATAAACTCAAAAAGCATCTTCCCACACAATCCAGACAACAAAAACCGCCATTCCCCACTAAGCAGCAGTGACGTCGCCACAGCGCTTGTGCCAGGCCACGTGCACTTTAAGGCCACGTGAAGTGTCGAAGCTCGCTGCTGGCAGGAGGTCACGGGACAGACTCCGCAGGTGCCATGGATTGACTCACCAAGATGACTGGCAGATGCACCACCTGTGCCTCCCTACTGCGCCGACAATCCGGACAATGCAGGCGACACCGTGATCCCGAAGAGAGGTCAAAGACGAGGGGAACACAGAGCACGAGGCGGCGCAAGAAATGGGAGTGGCGCTGAGCCGGCTGCCCCGTCGCTGCGCCGCAGCGGTTAAGAGCGGCGGTTGGGCGCCGCGGAGAGCCGGGCCTCTCCATGCGCGACGCGTGGCGCTGGAAGAGCTTGGGGAGCGCTAATCCTACGCGATCCCACTTCCTGTCTCTGTGCCCGGGAGCGACGGCGGTTTGCACAAATCGCGTTTGTCCGCTACGAGGGCGCCGTTCTGTTGACCGTGATGCTGGCGGGGGGGTGTCCGCCGGGCCCGTGTGTGGGGGAGAATTTGAGTGTGGGGACCGTGGGGCGGCGACGAGAGAAGCCGTGACATTTAAAACGCTGGAAACAAAGTCACGGGCTTGTCGAGTGTGAGCGGTGGCCGCCCGCGTAGGCAGCGGCTCGGAACAGCCTGGGCTCTCTCTAAATGTCACGGTCCGAATCGTGCGAGCCGGCCGTTTGCCGTGTGTGTTGAAGGTACACGAGCCAGCCGTGTGTCCGAGGATTGTATGGCCTGTCAGCCTGCCAAAGGCGCCAGTCGCTCGGCCGATTTCTCTGCACACCCAAACAATTATCTTTTTTTTTACTTTACTGCTGCCAAATCGTAGATTCGTCAAATTCCTGTGCGGTGGATGTGAAGTGAGCTTTTCCAGCTCTGAAGCGTTGTAAGTGTGCGAAGAGCAAAGGGAAATTCATAGCATAATCTCTGCTTGCCACTGGGACAAAAGTAGCAAGCTAGTGATGATGTGTGTATGACACTAAGACGCAAGTGCCAGGCTAGCGAGGCTACGTATGCTCCTCATTTGAGCAACAGATCAAAATTAATTGAAGGCAGCGGATTTTTCGCCAAGTGTTGAAGCCCAACCAAACCGCAGCAGCATTTGTTGCATGATTACCTGTGGTTGTCTGTCATGTTGAGCAGGAGCACGCGCTGGTGAAACGAATGTAATCATCATGATTTACAGCACGGGGTTAAGTAAAGAGCGCGCGTGGGTGTGTGCACACGCAAATGACCGTTGCCATGTGCATGACTGTTGCCATGTGCATGACTGTTGCCATGTGCATGACCGTTGCTGCGTGCATGACCGTTGCTGCGTGCATGACCGTTGCCGCTTGCACGACTGTTGCCGCGTGCATGCCTTTGTGAAGCTTCGCGAGCATCTGCAGCTGCACGATTCTCACGATTCCATCCTTAAGAACCAAATAGGATTGCTGAGTACATGGGATCGATCTTGGGATCGGTAGGATAGTGGCATCGCGGGGGGCCGGGTTGCATGGAGCCCTGCATGGAGTGCTCAGGTAAGGCGGGGGGGGGGGGGGGTGGAGCATTGGTGCCTCGCCGGCCTAGTGCCGTCGCCATGGAGACCCGTGACCGTTTCCAGGGTAACGCGTTTCTGTGGCGATTCTGGCGGATAATGGCCAACTGGGAAATAAATAAGTAAACAAACAGATACATACCCCGGCATCTATCGCAGCTGCTGCCAACGGGTCTCACAAAGTCAAATGCCAGGGCAAAAAAGTGTGTACAGTGCCGCATGCGGCCTCTCTTTACGCTACCGCCGTGCCAACGTGGGGTGCAGGCGCGACGACGCCATCATGGCGGACGCCGTCGCGGCCTGCGAGCCTTCCTCGCAGTCCGTCGGCACGGCTGATTAGTAATCTGATTACTTGTAGCTCGTTACAAGTAATCTGATTACTGATTACATGATTGCTGATTACTTGTAAACTGTAAAACTTAAATATTCTTTGGCTCTCTCGGTAAAGCCACGTACATAGAAGAAAAAATACTCAAAGTAATAACAATATCACGACGTTTCGATCGCAACACAAGCAATCGTCATCAGGTGAAAAATATAGCGGGAGAGCTGCTGAGGCAGGATGTTATAAAGGTTTTGAGATGGGTGTAGCCCAAGGGTCAGTGGGCGGGGCTAGAGATGAAATTTGCATGTAAATGTAAGATCGGAGAAATCTTGACGAACGAAGCTGTGGGGCTGGCCATTGTATTGTGAGAAATTAGCATGTCAATGTAAGAGATTTGCTTGTAAATGTAAGCTCAAAAAGAGCCATCGCCACATGGAGGTGGAAAAAGATGGCAAGCCGCCAATTACTAACACAGCTAACGGTGGCTGTGTTAGTGAATGTAACTCAGAGAGTCGAAAATAACTGCTAACATAGTTATGTAGGAAGGAAACATCACAGCCAGTTATGACCTAAACTGGTTGATAACGTCCTTCCAATGGTTGCTCAGTTTGTACCCGTCTTCTTGGTTGAAATTGTGTCTGTGTTTATATATCTGGATGGCTTCATGAACGAATCTTTGCTGATAGCCAGTTGGTTTGCAAAGTACCTTCGTCTTGGCAAAATCAATTTCGTGTGTGCCCACAGCGTTAAAACAATGATCAACCATGGCCGAGGTATTGGTCCTACCGTGTTTCAGATCTGCCTTATGTTCACGAACCCGGTCCGAGACATCACACAAACTAAAAACTATGGTTTTTTTAGCTTACCAGGTAAAGCTCACTGAACTATATAGCTCTTTTTCAGAGGCGAACTGGTCACAAATGATAGCTCAACGAAGTGGCTTATCAAGTTGAAATTTACAGCAGCCATGTTGTTTATGAATGTGGAGGGGAAAACCGTGACGGACCCGGATGAAAAATAATATCCACGTGACCACGGGGAGAACACGCAACCTCCAAGTAATCTGATGACTGAATGGAAATCAGCTCTCGGTTAATCCCCATTGTTACACCGCTGTCAGTGTTCATTCAGATCAGTGTTACCGAGCATGTGCTGTTTGACTTCTTTTTAGGATAAATGTTTGCGACTTTGAAAACAATTCGTAGCGAATTGAGGGACGTTATTGTGCGCTTCAGCGTGGTTTTGATGTAATCGCAGCAGCAGCCAAAGCGCGCAGATCACGACACAGAGAGACTTCGACAATTCACGTTTTATTTCCCACAGTGAATCTACATTCATCTTACCTACGCGCTGTTTTTTTTTCGTAGAACGTCGCCGTGTCGGATTAAAGTAGATTACACGGCCGTGATAATAAACGAGGATGCCACCGTGTGGCGGATGGCGACGTGCGTGGCCATTGTTCAGTTTCGCAATACGCGCAGTGGCCGCCTGTCAGAGTTCGCTTGACCCACCCTCGGTGTCGAGGCACAGGGGGAACGTTGTCTACCCACTGGGGATGCCGTTGGCTTCCTGAGCACTGCGGTGTTTGTGTTCAATTTATTGCTTTTGGTCAAGAGGGGGGGGGGGAGGGGGTCGGTTTGTGTCGCAATCCCGAGTTGTGTTTATCCGTGGGCGCCGCATGCGGTTGGGGCGGGTAGCGGTAACGTAGTGGTTAGAGCGGACGACGCTGCGACGCCAGCGATCCAACTCGATTCTTGTTATTATTGTTATTATTATTATTCACGTACGCCACGTGGCGGTTGGTGTACCGCTCCGACCTGGGCCTTCCGTGGGTTGTCTCGGCTTGAAAACGAGCCGTCGGCGACGGTCAACATCGGCACGAGGTAGACGAAGGTGCGTGGGCATGCGTGGTGGGACATCCTTGCCTCTCTCTGTGTGTCCGGGCCGTGCTCGCCCGTGCGTGCGTGCGTGCAGACACGACATTCATCACGACGCTGACGTTCCTGTGGAAGGTGACGGTGATCACCCTCGTCAGCTGCCTGCCGCTCTACATCCTCAAGTACATCCGCCGCAAGTTCTCCCCGCCCAGCTACTCCAAGCTCACCAACTAAGAGGGCACCCGCCACGCTCCGAGCCTGCGTCTGGCTGCCCACAGGAGTTTGGAGACCGAGCACCGCGGGGGAAGGTTCCAGCTGCGACGGGCTCAGGCCCAGCGACCGTCGCGTGGGGGGGGGGGGCGAGCCCCCCGCGTCGGCAGCCCACGCAAGACACCGCTGCTGTCGAGGGGCTGGGGGGGGGCCTAGGAATAGAAAACACGCCAGAGGCCTCTGATCTTCAACCCCAAACTTAACCCTGATCCTAACGCCCAAAGCACTTTTAGCCATCTAACTTAGTCCTCGCCCAATGCGTAACTGTCGCCTGAGTCCAAATAGCCCAGCCTTAACAGGAAATATTGCCCGAGGTCTGGTCTTGAGCACGTAGTCCTCACGCTGCCCCGTACGAAGCACAAAGCCTTGGCTCCAGTCGTACCGAGACATTTAGCCACAACCCCAACTCTAATTCAGACCTTAGCGCCCATCGTAGCCAGAATAAACACCCAGCCGTAGCCGTGACCCCATAACGTTAACCATTGTCCAATGAATCCATTTGCCACCACTCAAAAACAATCTCTTGAGGATGCCGAAGTGCCCGAAGCAGCCGGCGAGGTGTCAGCGCACCACCGGTGAAGCGGAGCCGTGACTGCACCGCGCCGAGTCACGATGCCTGGGAGGCCAAGGGAACCCATGGGGTCACAGGTCAGGCTGCGCACGAGGGTTCAACTCCACCGCAGCCAGGGGACAGCCTCCACCGCCTCCCTGCTGCACCCCTCGGCCAGGCGATCGGGTTTCCCACCTGTCCTGGGTTGCCCACGAGCTGCTGTCCTGGGAACACTTTGTCTGCCTTCCCCGGGACAATTCAAGTCATGGGTTTTGTCAGTTGGCGTAGTGATCATAATGATGATGCACCATACTCTTTGGTTATTTCGGTAGAAGTCACGTAGCTAGAAGTAACTGACTTTACCGAAAGAACCAAAGAGTACGGATTCCTGCGGTCACGAAAGCTTCAGATCAAGGTGATGCACCACGGGAGGTGATGCACTCAGGTGTAGTTCTCGGCTCTTCGAGTATTGCGAGAGGTTCTTCTACTCGTTATTTATCCCCGTTTTTTTTTGAGCCCTCGAGTGGTGGCGAGTGATTGGCTCCGGGAACGCGAGAGGGATCTCAGCGAGGGCGGGGGTGACGGGGGGAGTCGGTTTGGTGGAGGTCACGGTAGTTTCTAAACTCTAATATCTGAAACATTTAATGCAATTGTAGGTGAGATTGGGGCATAGTTTGAAATAAAATCAATATCCCATGCATTGTTTGATGGAAAATAGGGCCCTTAGTTTGTTTCTGTAATTCCACGACAGGCTGGCTTCACGGGGTTAGGCTGTTGACCTCGCGGTGACTCACTGTGGCTTAGCACTGCCACGGGCGCGCCGAGGCTCCGGCGCTTTTATACGCGACGCGCGTCGGCTTTGGCGCCGTGTATACGCTCAACGCCACGGATTCGTGGCACACGACCGCCTCGGGCAGGGCATGGCACCGGGCGTGTCGTGGAAAATGAGGCGTGCCCTCCGTTGCTGGAACCTTTTAACTCACAAATTCTGTTCTGCGCTGTGTTCGTGGGTTGGCGTGTCGCACGCACCTGGCTCCGTGCGTGTGCGTGTGGCGTCTGTGGGTGTGTGTGTGTGTACCCGCCGTCACGTGGTCCAGAGGTGCTCACTCACTCCACGCGAGTGGATTCATCACGGCACCTCTCGGCCAATCAGAGTGAGCGTCTCGCTTTCCCCAGAGGTTGTTCAGCAATGAAGTCTCGGTTTTCTTTACATGGAGGTAGTAGTGGATGCAGCACGTAAAAAAAAAAGAATATTTTTGGGAGCTCTCATCTCCATCGTTGGTCCTGAGCTGTTGTTGTGATTTCCCTGTTTCTATGGCAGGACCCCGTCTCTCCCTAACACAGCCACGATGTGATGCAGCCTCACCGCACAGTTGGGGCCCTCACGTGCTGCTCGTTTTACCGAACTTTGAAGGCTTCTCAACCAGGATTTGAATTCATCTCCTTGCGATCATGATCTCTGCGCTCGACCGGATCGGATTTCTGAGACGTAACGGGAGGGATTATCTCCTCAAATCTACAGGAATTCACTAAATAAGTCTCTCTTAGTTTAGATGGGTTGTTTTTTTTTTTACATTACATTGCTGGTTTTAGGTTAAGAAAATAATAACTTGTTTCACATTCGAGTTTTTTTTTTATATTCGGTTCAGCAATGCGCATGCCAGCATCACGGAAGTTGGCTGCTAGCCATGTGCCATTTTCTAATGGGTGGGTGAGCGCTTTAACCCTTCACACGAATAGCGACTCTGCATCTTTGCAGCGCTCCATGTCGCTCCCACAAAAAAAAAAACGAGGCGTGCAGACGTTTTGCAGCACCGTTTTGGTCAAACCCACGTGTCTGTGATGGGCGACTTTGGTATTTGTCGGTGATATCGTACGGGTTTGCCCGCCTATCGACATGGCCGAGCTCTGTGGCTTCCCGGCCGGCCCCCGCAACAAACCGGCCACCGGCTGACTCGTCAGCGTCGCCAGTTGCGCACCGGCCAGTCGGATTATCAGCCACTCTTTCCAGCCCCATGGCTGTCCAGTTACAGTATCTTTCTGGTGTGGAAATCTACACGTGCGTCGATTTCTTAAATTATTTTCCTGGCGACGCGCGGCGTTATTGGGGTGATCGTTTTTAGCGGGTGACACTTGAGGGGGAGGAACAGTGCCGAGGTTTATCGGTGAAATGGCGCGGTAGTGGCACGAATACAACGGCACACCCCAAGCCCGCCGCCCGCAACTCTTCGAGTGCGGCCATGTCAGCCGTGGTGATTGTTTTCTCGAAACCTCATTCGCAATATGATTTACCCTGCCTGTACCCCACAGGGTTCCTTGACTTAAAGAACGTTATATTGTCCTCAGTTATAGTTTCCATTGTACAATCAATTCGTTTCATGAGCCCAGAAACATTCTTCTCGACATTCAGTTAGTGGATCCTCACGCACTGATTGACCCAGGAAGGTGAATCCGCAGACCACTGAACTGACCTCTTACCTGAGTTTAGCTTGCGCAGTTGCCTGGATTTTAACTCTGTGGAGTGGGACGCAGGATGGAGGACGGGCGATTCCCAAGACAGGCATCGGAGTGGTCTCCACGTGTCTCGCGACCAAGGCCAGGTGGTGGTAGACTGTCGGGGCAGATCTCCGGGTCCGTGTGTCTTCTGTGCAGCAGCTGCGGGGTCGGGCAGACGAATGGAAGTGTTGATGTGGTGCGTTGGTGGTGGTGGCACCAACGGGTTTGCCCATGACGATGACGTCTTGATCTCAGTGACGCTGTCTCGGTTCTTTTATTAAATCCTCCTTGGCCAAGAACCCCATAGAGGGCTCTTTGTGGGACTGTGTGTACCCATGCTCCACTCGGATCTGGGTGAGAGGCGGCCACAGCTGCATTCTGATCCCTCTGCTGCGCATTAGACCGCATCAATTGCCCATTCATTCCCATAACTTGGGTTAGCTTTGTACGTGGCAGCCTGTTTGATTGAGAGACACGATTCAGACTCCTCATCCCAAACGGGTTGGAAACCCCCGTTCTAGTAGAGCGCGTGCTTCGTGCGTTCTTCCACCGAGCCGGCGGTATGACTTTCAGAAGCCATCCAGTAAATTGTAGGGGTGGTGATTATCAATAGCTGCTTTGCGGTGGTGTCTAAAGAGGCTGCGAAATCGCTCTGCGAGTGGGCCATCGCATGGCTCAGAGACTATCGCAGTGATCGCAAGGGAGACCTCGGAAAGCCGAGGGACGTCATTGCTACTGATATTTATCCCGATTCGCCGATGTGCAGAAACTACTTTTGTATGCCTGTTTTGATTGAAGAGTCGCAGCAGAAGTGTGCTTTAGTTTGAGAAATATGAGCATAAATGCTCCTTCCACCTGCACATGAAGTAAGCGCATGATGTACTTTACACATTACGAATAATCTTCACGTTTGGTTTTTAAACATCCGGTTGACAGAAGACTGCTACTGGAATTGAACCCTGGCTCTTGTGTGTACCGGCCAATTGGCCCGCATGTAGGCCTCGATGCCATGCTTTGCTGTCAGTCCAGGCAACATAATTCATGCACTGGAGATGAAAACGACTGAGGCCAGTGAACAGCTCTGGCTTGCCAAGCAATTCATAAAGCCCCTAAGAAGACCTGGATACACATGGGCTGCATTTGATGCCAGGATGCACGCTTGCCTTCCGTACAGCAGTTGAGCAAAACGTGTACAAACGCAGCCTGCACAGATGGTGGCGTCATGGTTTTAGCGAGAGAAATCGGAAGCCAGCGTTTTGAACCCGTCAAGTTACGTGCAGTGAATGCATGAACAGGTGCATCGATGTGTGTGGGTGTGGCAGTGGTGGCTGAACGGAATGCGATCTGCCACAAAGGATGTGAATTTATTCGCAAGCCGCTGTGCGCACGTGTGTCCAGATGATCCCGCGGTCATTGACCCCTGCAGGGCAAAGCGAGCCCCCCCCCCTCTCTCTCTCCACCTCGTGACACCGCCAGAATTCATAAAACACATCGGTCGAGGTTTCCCGTGCAGAGAGAGAGAGACAAGTCCCCGCCATAGTCGCGTGGAATTCCCACCACTCGTTTCGGTTGCAAACCAAACGGCTGCTCCCCACGGGGCGCCAGTGGACCTCCACGATTGTCAATTTGGTGGAGTGGTGGTGATTTATTTGTGTTTAGCCGCTGCTTGAACACGGTCGAGAGGGGCCTGGGGAAAACAGTGTCGGCTGGGATGCGCTGAGCTCGGAAGACGACGCCTCGGAGTGGGGGTGGGGGGTGACGAGGGCGTCGTGGGTGGGAGTTGGCGATGGTCAGAGGTTGCGTGCAAAGCCACGAGGAGGAAGCCTTCAAAGCGAGGGCGTTGTTGTAGTTGTACTCTGACGTGCCTGTGCCCATCAACGAGCGCGTGTGTGTGTCAAATGCATCTCTCGCTTTCACGGTGGTGCACCGCAGCGGAGCGGGTTGGCCGGTGGTAGCAGCAGCGGCGGCAGCAGCAGCAGCGTTGCGAATCGGCCCGTTGTGTGGATGATCGCGGCTTAGCGAGCCGTGGGGCCCACAACGAGACCTACAAAGAGCCTTGCGGGGGAACAAAAACCTCAAGCAGGCCTCACGAGTCTAAGGCGCGCGAGTCGGACGCGTTGCACGTTTATTTCGTTGATAACTCAGCAAATCGATCAAATCAATTGGCGTGAATGACTGCGCGAGTTTGTCAAGCACACAAAAAAATTATTCTGACGAAATCCGCGCAACGTAGCACCACGGACAGCTCGAGGTGGCCCGCCGCGATGGATGGACGGGTCTGGCCGAAACAGAGCCGTCCATGCGTCAGGCCTCCTCCTCCGTCGCGAGCACTGAACATCGCTGACGCCACGGCTCTTAAGTGAAGAAAGTCAAAAGAAGCGGGGCCCTGCCTGCACGCGACACGACGAAGACGCGCTTAGCGCTGCCAAACGCAGGGGAGTCTCTCTCTCTCTCTTTTCAACCAGGTATTTCTGACGCACCGAGAGCCTCCGTTGTAGTCGTGCGTCCAACTAAGAGTTCGTGTTTACAACATATTAGCCGCGCCGTAGGCCCTCGACAAGGCTTCTGTGTTTGCATTATCACTTAAGTATGCCATGCCAGTGGTAACGTAGTATTTCATCTCGTGCAAAGGGAGAGACAGCAGTAGGTCTACAGCTTTGATTGTTAAAGGAGCTCGTTCATCTGGAGTTTGTTGTGCGTGTTGTAATTATTCGAAAAATGCAGCCGCGCGTGCGTCCTCTCAGTCGACCTGTGGCACCTGCTGGGTCTGCCCCGGTGCACCTAGCCTGGCACAAGCGTCGTGGTGACGTCACCGCCACTTAGTGGCGAATGGCGGTTGTTGTGTGGTTAAGTTGGTGTAGCGATTAGTGCGCTGCGCTACGAACCCACCCGGCGAACCGGGTTCGATTCCCGCTCACGGCCATCACCAGTGGCGATTATCTGAACCGGTCCTATGGTCCTCCCCTAGGTCGACTCCGACTCAAGTGAGTACCTGGTGCGATGTGTACAAACATCGCCACTGGGGAGGCAAAGGCGGTCGGGCGTGGTGCTGGCCACCGTTCCGACCTTCATAGGTGCTCGCTAACAGCACTTGCCCCAACAGTCTGTTAAGGCTACACGGGGGATCTTGGTGTCTTTGGTTAATTTGGAACACTGGTGAACTTGAGAAGGGGGATATGCCCCCCCCCCTCACATCGTAATGGGATGTGTTGGAGTGAGGGAGAAATGGGTAACGTCACAATAGGTTGCCATGGAGCGGTGTGTGACGCGTGTGGCGTTGCGAGGCTGAGAGGGAGCTGGGAGTATCGGTGTAGGAGGCAGCTATACTACAAACTAAACTATTATTTTACTGAGTAAGGCCCACTGAGCTATGTGGCCGTTTTTGAGAAGCGACCTGGCCACACATGGGAGCCCAACGAAGTGTCAAGATGCTGACCGGAACTCGCGCGGAGCTGGCATCGCGGGCCACGTGAAGTGCAGGTACCAGTGGCGCAGTGTGACTTTATAGGTGGTGTAGTAACTACATTATCAGTGGTGTAGTAACTACATTATCAGTGGTGTAGTAACTACATTATCAGTGGTGTAGTGACTACATTATCAGTGGTGTAGTAACTACATTATCAGTGGCGTAGTAAACTACATTATCAGTGGCGTAGTAACTACATTATCAGTGGCGTAGTAACTACATTATCAGTGGTGTAGTAACTACATTATCAGTGGTGTAACGACATTACCAGTGGTGTATTGACAACATCAGCTGCAGGGGGTTGCCACAATCGGACAGGATGGGGCTCCCAATATTTGTGATTTTGTCTCGCGTGGTTTGCACCCCGGCTAAATATATGCCGCGGCTCCTCTTGCCGAGTCACATCATGACATCAGTTCGTCGTTCTTTTACGCTGTTGTTGAAAACATCTCATGGTGGCTGTCAGGGAGGGCCCAACTCGTGTCTGTGGATGGGGAGGAGGGCACGACAACCCTCTGGTGTCCCCTACGGCTCGTCACGCTGCTGTGAGGCAGCGCCGTGCCCGGCTTCTCGTGCCAATGGAAGTCTCCACGGGAATGTCGGTCGCGTGAGAGCGAACGAAGCTACGATGTCAATTCTATACGCGCATCGTGAACGCTTAGATGTTGTATTCTTTGCAGTGAGAGGAGTGACTCTTTAAACCTCCGCGCTCGGCGTGTAGTCAAGGCCAGGAATGGCTGTAAAAGTGCGATTTAATAATATTGCATGGCATCGAGTTGTTTAAAAAATGCCGAATGTTTATCATTGGCTTGGCACGAAGGCTTCCTTATTGATGCTGAACAACCAACTGCAATTCAGATTGTATTCCATAAATCTGCCTTCAGCACCAACCTATAAACAGCTTAACCTGATCATTACACTGGACGTCCACACACACACACAGAGGAAGTGGGACACGTGTTTTTTGG